TTCTTATGTATGAGCGTTGCATTGTTGATCTAGGACAATTATTTACTGCACTTCCGAAAGATCGGTTACGGTTTTAATACTGCCGCATGGTGGTAGGTCGTACCCCTCAATTAAGGAACATGGGTCCAAATTTCCATACCATTGCACTCTTTTATGGGCAAGTTCAATAAAAATGTCTAACCACCACGACATGCCTAATAAAACGAAACAACTAAATTGATTTAAACAAAATTTATCGAAGAATGTATCTTTGGAATAACTTTATCGCCAATCCACACAAATTTGAAAATTTTCCTAAATAAGAATATTCACGCCGCCATTCTGTGAGTTTTTAATAAGTCACTACTAGTATATTCTGTACATACATTCAAATACCTAAGCAGAGAATTACATCAAATCTCCCAGCTCTCAGGTGGGGGTTCACGCCAGAACCTGACAGACAGCTTGTTACGAAATCAGTAAACGATTATTGCACTTAAAGAAATTATGCACTGTATCAAACAGACACATTTATCAATTTAATTCCATACCGGTGCTGTTATCATCTATATTGAAAAGTCCTAGATTGTGTCGAATAAAATGTAAGTGATATACATTTTGAATAGTGAATGCATGGATGCTCATCCAATCATGAGGGGGGAAAAATCTGACAATAGAGGTTGTCGACGTTAGATGATACTCATGTAACCTAGACATAAATTTGAAAAGAAGGTATGGTCAATTTCCCCTGAATGTTTGTTCATTTATTTCATTAAGATGATCATTTTCAAAAAGATAAGAATCCTTTACACATCTTCATTTAAGGGTGAACTTTGAGTTTACAACCTTAGTATATTATGTAGTTGACTATAAAACCAAGTTTCTGATGTTTATAGCTGACTCCACTTACCTGTAAATAGATACATGTAAAAAAAAAATAATGTTTTGTTAATTATCTGGGAAAATGAATAGAAAGGGTATTTAAGAAATAATTCATCAAGCCCCCAAGAATTATTTCGATTCTAATAGGACAAATACGGCAATTGTTTTGGATCGAAGCGCTCTAGATGAAGGCTTTATTTGCCGTTCCCATAAATAAACGCACTATTAAATTGACGTAAAAGACCGGAGCAAACTGAACAAATGACATGCTTAAACTATTTACAATAACATATTTAGATAGGTTTGGATGAATCTAAATGATAATTGTACTTATATGTCTTATATGTATACAAAAAATGGCTTAAATAACACATTTTATCATCGTTTGTTTACGTTTCCTTGTTGTGATGATTTTCGGTTTCACAAGCGTGTATTTTCCCGTAAAATGCTTATATTCTTACGTCATCGTTCTATGACGTCGGTAGCTCATTCATAAAAAAGTATATGACGCGGGAGTACGATCGGAACAGCCCAAACAATATATTTTAAAAGAAATAATTCATGGAAGCCATAGATTTGTTGGACATTTACACATGGCCTGGCCGTGATATTCGAATTTTATCCTGAGCGTTAGCGAGGCTTAAAATTAACGAACATCACGGCCCAGGCCATGTGTAAATGTCCAACAAATCTATGGCTTCCATGAATTATTTCGATTCTAATAGGAAAAATACGGTAATTTAAAAACTGAAGCGAACGTAAGATTGCAGTGTGTATGACTTCTATTTTACCCCCTGTAACTTGCAAGATAAAAACTACAAATTTCATATAAATCTAAGTCTTACATGAATTATTTCTCAAATAAACAGTAGAAAAAAATGTGTTCAATTCTCATAATTCTTAACCCAAACATTTATTTTTCGTTGGCTACTATTTACTGTCAAATCCAGAGTTGACATGTCGTTACTAAGGAGTGAGCCGCCATGTTGACTTGCTGAAATCCACAAATGTGCGAATAATGCAATGAAATAGAAAATGAAACAACACCTACCTCAAAACTCCATTTTAAGGCAATATTATCCGAACTTAGGGAGTATACGTAACGGAAAACATTCAGCTTTAGAGTTTTCTTTCGTATGACGTCATGTTATGACATGACGTTAATGCACCAAGATCATTCATGAAATTTGGCGGAATTTTATTTTATTTTGATTTTATACATTTTTTAAGCTCTTGTGCATTATATATTTTTTTATGCAATGTAATAGGAATAACGGTTCTGTAGTTTCTTTTTCAATTTCAATTTGGACACAACGAAATCGACATAGTGTTTGCACATAGGTTACGATACATGTGGATTTACGTGGGAGGTAAATAGTAACAGCCACCAATATGCACATCTCTGAGTCTGCGCTAAGTATAGGTATATCGAGAATTTTATCACGGTGTTGTTTACAAAGCGAAAGAAGCACGTCATATTAGAATTAAGGAATAACTGTACTGTAGTTGAAGAGTTGCCACCGTCAATTGGCGATTTTACGGTTGCAAATGCAGTTTTACTGGCGACGCGTAGCGGAGACAGTAAAACGGATATTTGCGACCGTCAAATCAAAATTGACGGTGGCAACTCTTCAACTACAGTACTGTTATTCCGATTCTAATGCATTTCAAAAAGAAATAATACGTTAAAGCTTGAAAAAATGTATAAATTTGAAATTTAATAAAATTCCGCGAAACTTCATGAATGATTTTGGCGCAAAGACGTCATGGCTAAACATGACGTCATACAAATGAAATCTTACAAACTGAAGGTTATTTCGTTACTTCTACGATTCAAATTTGGATAAAATCACATCAAAACGGCGATTTTGAGGTAGGTGTTGTTTTATTTTCGATAATATTATAGTAATCGAACATTTTTTGATCCATGAATTCAAAATGGCGGGTCGCTCCTTAGTTACGACTGGTGAACTGTGGATTTGACGGTAACGTTTAGCCAATGAAAAAAATTGTTACATAAAAATTGCATTAGAATCATATTTTACCACGGCTGTGTACTCAAAGCGTTTAAAGAACGTCATGTTAGAATTCAAATCCAACTCATAACTCTATTGAAACGAAAGCTAGATGTAGATAAAAATTATTCGCTTTTGATTACGTGAATCCGATAATTCAACATTTTAAAACAATACAGGAAATTTCATTTTTTTGTCGCAAATGTTTAATTCCAAAATCATGAAGGTAAATACATCTAATTGGTAGATTTGTAGGTTTGTTTTAGTATAATATCGTGTGTGAATTAAATATGTTTTTTTTTAAATATGAAAATACCAAGGCATGCAAGGAAAACCCATACGTTCTAACAGAACATACGCCATGCTGGATAAATGAAAACCGACGGAATACACACTAGTACATAAAACATTACACAGAATTTAGGAACACATTCTCATGCAGGTGATCCCCTGTGATGCAGAATGAGGAGCAGTTTCGGCTCATTTTTTTAATCTGTTGTCTTGCTCATTACCAGTTCAATCCCTGTGATAACTCGTATTCAGTCAATAATAATGAGTGAAAATTGAAGGTATGACACTAGGAAAACATCTGTGGACATCTTTCCGCAACGATAAAAATCAAGATGGCGTAGAATAGATTACTACAACATTGCTATTAAGAACCGATGGTTCAAATGATACCTCGTAACTATCCAAATTATCAAAACTCTATCGAGGGCATTCTGATTGTAGCGTTTGAGATATAAAAACTCCATATGTAGGTGCAGCTTGATTTTGGCTTATTATGTTTATCTTAATTTTTTTTTTTTTTTTTTTTTAACTCATCAGATATAGCAGGCGCTCGAATCTAAACAGTCAACTAAAGTTTATTTTAAAGTGAAAGTTTTGGTATAAATAAAGTAGATCAGCTTGGCTACTATATCTAAAATGGATAAACAAAATCTTAACAAATGTTTGGTTTGATATTTTTAAAAAGTAAATCATAAATTTTTGGTATGTCTTCCAAATATTCGTTATACAAATAATCTGTGTTCTTGGACGTTTTAGACATTTTTCACATTTGTTCAACGAAAGGATACCTCTGTCCAGTCATTGGCAAATATTTGAAGTGAAGTAAGAACGACTACTCGTGTTTTTCTGGTGAATTATGATATATAATACGTGTATATGATTTTATTTTATCCCAATACTTTTTCTTTTCAAAGTTTGATCACGAACAAATGATAGAACTTTACTATTGTATATAAGTTGAAAATCATTTTATAATGTTGCAAAACAATGAAAAGAGTAGTTGCCAATGGAAGCTATTCTTTAGATGTTGATTTTAGTTAACTAACAATGAAGTAGAGAAGACATATTCTAACAACTAAAGCAAAGCACTGCGTCTTTTCGAGAATTATATTAAGCTTTTGTTAATATAACATAAAGAAATGCCTTACTTATTAGCAAAACCATTATTCGATTGATACCAATATTGTCAAAATAATATTAAAAGCTTAAGTATATTCTATTCTGTGTTAATTATACAATATTGCATATGACTGTGTCTCATAAATGTACGTAGATTTAGATTTACTTCCATTTGAAATCATATTATCATGCGTCTAAACCAAACCAAGTTGTTCATTTTCCCCCGGTTGTTTTCTGTCTTTATCTTGAGTACTAAAAACTGCTTCGTCGATGCCACTGCTGTAATCAGTGCCTGCAATGTTGTGAATATTGTTAATGTTTACTTCCGTTTTCTAAATTTTGTCCTGATTCAAGATATTTCGTTGTCTCTCTCGGTTTAACGATGTACAGATTTCTATATGGATAGGTTTGATCATTATCAAAGGTCGTATGATGGCATGGAGTGGCTTTTTTGGGGGGTTTGGGGGGGGGACCCAAGTGCACAGTTAGAGTTAGAATCTTATGCTGAACATATAACACCCGACGCATTACTCATGATAAAACAGGATTGAAAGCACTGTTTTTCTTACCCAAATACATAACCAAATTCATAAACAAACGGTATAGGTGAATTCTCTAACCCTAAAACATAGACGAATGTGAAATGCTATTTTTTTTCTGGATACACATGATACAGGAAAGAAAAGATCATGATTAATAAAAACAATACATGCATTGAAAAAAAATAATTTAATTAGAAAACCAAACTTAAAAACCTTAAGCAAATGCAATCCTGGAATATCGTATCAACTGGGAGATATGAAAGTTATGGAATGGTACTACATCAAAATGTAAAAAATCACAATTGGAAAATGAAGTCTTCTCTTCTGTCATAAAGTTTAGGTCGCAAACGACGCTCGCTGTGAATAATCAGTTTTCTTATAATGCGAACCGTCATATCCAAAATTAAAAGCAATATAAAATATGAATTTAAATACACAAGATCTTCTTTTCGATTTAAATTATGTAACGTTTCTGATATAACCTTCCAGACAGTGAGACACGACACTGAGAGTGTGAGTACCTGAAAACATATATAATTGTTATAAGGCACTTATATAATTGTTATAAGGCACTTATATAATTGTTATAAGGCACTTATATAATTGCCAACATTCGAAGTTTATTAATCCAAGAAAAATTTTCAAAACGTCCAAATACACTTAAATTTGGAGATCTTATGACATGTAAAAGAAAATCGATACTTTCGAAACTCTGTAAATTTATCAAAATTGTTAATAAAGGGTTGTGTGATCCGGGCTGACATCTATCTCATCTATGTTGATTTGTTTCTAATATTGTGTTCTCTGTACCATTCCGCTGTAAATGGTTTGTAGAGAATAAAAATATATATAGTCAGTGTAGTTCAAGTTCAAGTTCAAATATTTTATTGTCAATTAAAGATGCCCATTACAGGCAGAGTCGTCAAGTTAAATTTGGTACAAATGATTAAACATGATTGCAATGATTTGGTTACAATTAAATAAGATACCAATTATAGTGAAATAAACTTCGTCTCTCAGGCAAAACTAAACGTTATACGTTTACTGTATTTTGACTTCCCACAATTTTGGTCTTGAGCGTACCTTTAGTTGGCTATTATCTTTAGGTTCTTTTTGGTCATATAGATTTTCAACATACATCCTTGGCTTTCAAATATTCGGCTTTGATCGTTCCTGATGAAGGTAAATCAAGAGAAGCGCTTCGGACGCATGAAATTTATTAAGTGTTTTTTTTTCATTTTTTTGAGTAGATTGTTTCAGAATCACATGTCATGCGTACTAAAATTGGCATCATACATCTATTTTAAGAGCACCAATACGAAAAGAGCCTTCGTAGATCTTTCAAAATCTTTGACGGTTAACTTGTCTTTCAATTTAAGAGCTACAAACTAAGTTTAGTTAAAAATTAAATGATTTACGGAAAAGTGGAGACGGTACTGAAGGGGCAATCAATACCCAAAAGTCGAAAAAAGACAGACACACAAGAAAAAAGATGAAACGGGTCCGTAACACACAACACAGAAAACTTAAGATCGAGCAACACGATGTCCGCCAAAATCGAGGTTGAACTCGTGTACTCCGAAAGAGTAATATTTCAGCGTAAACTGATTATTTATAATAAGGATCAAGGTGTCATTTTAATTACTGTTTCTAAGCAAATGTTGAATTCGGGGACTGACAGGAGAACTGCACTGACCTAGTGGTAGTATACGTTACCGCTCTCAGAGAGCACTATACGGGTTTCTAAATAGCCTTTATCAGGTACTCTCTAAACATAAAGTTTGATAAACTAAACACATGAAATATGTGACCCATGCAGGAGGCTCTGGGTTAAAAGAATATAGAATAATGGGCATAAAGTGCAGAATGAAGGGCAAAAATAATAAAGAATAGAGCAAAAATAAATATAAAATAAAGAAAAATGGTCCAAAAAGTTAAAAATAAATAAATGCTGGACCCCCATCCAGAAACTCATACATTTGTCCATTTATTCTGAAAGCATACATCTTAACTAACCTTCTGACTGAACATAATTTTCTTGTACTTGGTCTATTGAAAAAGACGTCACTTAAATTAATGATGTCATTGTGGATTTCAGCAGCAGACAACCTAAATAAAAAAAAAAAAAAATAAGTATTTCATGTCATGCTCAATGCTCATTTCAACACGAGGAGGCATTATATTTGTGAATATTTTTAAAACGAGCGTTAGCAAGATGTACAATATTGACAAAATTACTCCTTTCTACATCAGACATTTGCAGTCAAAAGTTCAAGATTAGTATAAACCAATGACAATCTTTCGTAAACTATTCCTCCCGCGTTAGGAGATTAGTTAGTTTGATTGGATAATTTAAGTTTTTTCTGACTGTTTCACGCAAAATAAAATATCCTCATACTATTTTTTTTAGAAATTTTTTCAACTGGATTTGGAAATTCAAATTAGGTTCTTTATATTATTTCTTGCGAAATGTTGAAATAAACAATTTATGTATAATTCTAAACTACAGTTTGCATCTTTGTGCACGTTTACATGGTACTTTATGCATTATAATCATAATAAATATTCTAAGACTATCTCACTATCTCACTATATCGGTGTGACAAGGCCGTCCAGTGTCAGCTAATCTATTTATACTTACCCCTGTACCCTGTCAACTTTCTATTGTACTATTTTTTTTCTACTTATATATTGGTTCGTCTCGTATCATGTTTTGTGATAAGAAGTAAATTGACTTATTCCTAAATCCAAGCTGCAAACCTTCGTGGGTGCGATGAATATCGAATGACATTAAATGACCTATTATCGCCGATTACTTCCTTCTGGAGCAGTTTCTCTGCTATTCCCACTAATGAATGTGAAGTTGTAAAGATTTACACTTGAAAATGGATGTCTTTAATTATTGAGACAAGAATATAATTCAAAACCAATACTTATAACTTTTGGCATCAAAGTATGATTGTTGTGATTTGTGAGTTTTATTCTTTTGCTATTTATTCATTAATTTGTTAATCTATTTACCGATATTTTTATATCCAGCGTATTATGTTTTCTATTCATACCACATTACATGTTGTATTTCTAGAAATAGTAAAGTTCATTTCTTTTTCGAAAATTCGATGTCACCATTTGGCTGAAAATACCAAGTGTGTAGACACCTGCTAACAAATGCATTGACTTATAAATCATTTCAATGGAATAATGATCTGAAAATAATAATAGTGTATAGAGGCAATACATGGAATGCGTTGAGTTATTTTCTAAAAACATTTTATTTGGTTTAATTGTAATATGGCGCTAAAAATGATAGTGCGTAGACGCCTCCCCACAAATCTATTGAATTATTATTTTTAGAATTGGTGCTTGATTGTATCATACAGGTATATTAAACACCATAATCTAGCATTTAAATGGAAGTAGCAACAACTTCACGTAAGTGATTTAATTTTTCGTTTGTTATTTTTATTTTATATCAGAAAAAAAACATTACCAGTATTATTTATTTAATATTTTGCAGCCAAACATCCCCAGCAATGGACAAAACATGAAGTAGGTGTATGGCTCAAATGGTGTTCCGACGAATTTTGCATAGAGCCAATACCACCAGACAGAATAGACATGAATGGTTAGTTATAATTTTATGTATCTTGTTATTTAAAAAAAAAAATTTCGAAAAAAAATATTCCTAGAATCAGTGAATAAGCAAAGTAAGTCGTTTTCAATAGTCATTCAAAATGTAATTTCAGAAATAAGACTGTTGAAGACACTTAAGATATTAATATAGATTAGTTAGAAAAAGCCAAAGGATCCTATGAAAAAATAAAAAGTTTGTGTAGGAACATTTTTTTCCGAGGGATTTATGAGTAAGCAACAGTCTGGGGTGCATATAAGATTTGTTATTGGACGTTAAGGAAGCAACAACCATTATCCTATGTCAGGGCAATTATTGAATTATCAATGATATTTAAAATTTAAAAATTTTTAAGCAACACTTAATAATGCATTATCAAGGAACTCTAAATTTCAAACAAAATTTATCCCGAATATGTCCTGTTAGCACCAAAATGTGAATTGACAGCAACCGTCCACATATGTTGGTATCTATTCATGATAGTGATAAATACAACCTTCTAATATACGTGATGTTTGTTTCTTCATTTAACATCTTCAGAACTTTCACTTTTGTTTGTAGATTTTCTTCAGTTTGTTTAAAATGTTTTAAAAAGTCAATTATAAAAAGTCAATTATAAAGTTCTTCCCTAGTTTTCGTTTCCTTGAACTGAACATATTGAATTAAAATGTTTACCATAAATCATCCATTTTCCAAGAATTGTTATAGGATTTCTTATTACATACGAAAATTATTCTGTTTTTCTTAGTAAACTAGTATTTACGGAAATCTTTTTTATGTATGAAAACAGTCGAGGTTTTATTGGTATTTAGAGTTATTTAGCAAATTATGTCTCAATTATGATTGCCCTAGCACTTTTTTCATAAAAAAAAAATAAAGCGGTAAACTGCCATAAGTTTGGTCTTTTCTCGTCCCTCTCACTGCAATTACTGATCAGATAAATAATTCGATGTTTTTTCTCCTTTAATAACCCGATTATAACAATTTTTAAAGATTAAATTATATGCAAATTTGATAAATATGCTGTTCGAATTTTTCATTATGCTAAATCTAAGTAAGAATGTAAAATATTAGCTCAATTTTCATACAATGAAAAGAAATAACGAGGGTGTCTTTGGCTTTTAAGGAATCGATAAAACAAAATGTTGTATATAAAAAATCATTTTTATTTTTAAAATCCGCCTTGATTAAGTTCGAATGTCTTCAAAGGTTAAAAATGTCCTACCTGTGGTTTAACATGGCACTATGTAATCCCAATGTTTTATCAATTATTTACAATTGTACGGTTTTTATTCATTACAATGAAGACAGCAATATATTTTTTTACAATAATTTTGTAATGCAAATTTTATTTTTCATCTTTTATCAATCATTCCAGCACATCAATATATTCATTAGGAAAAAAAATGGAGATACGACATTTGATTATTAACTATCTAATAGATAAAAGCTATTTTTTGTACAACTATCTGATAAATAAAAGCAAAGTCGTCCATTACGGTTGCTAACATCCGCCTACAGTTTAACCAATAGTTTTAGTGCCTGATCAGGAAGTACCAGTCTTCCGTGTTGTATTTGAACCTGTTCTATTGAAACCTTTGTTGACTGTCGATTAAATGATATGTTCTATGGGATTTATTTCATCAATAAAAATGTTATATGATGGTCTGGATGGGGGTCCAACATTTCTGTATTCTTTAATTTTTATGCCATTTTTCTCAATTCTTCATACTTTTTGCCAATTATTCTCTATTCTTTATATTTTAGCACCTCATTGTTCTCTCTTCTTTATTTTTTGGTCCCTTTTTCTCCATACTTTATATTTTTGCCCATTATTCTTTATACACCTTATCGCTATTTGGAAATCTGCGCCGCTTGACCCGAGAATCTGCGCCTCTTGAACTATTGACGTCATACAACAATCACTTGAAATGAAATACTTGACATGTAAAAATCTCTCTTTCGGCTAAGTCATGTAATCACGAAAAAAAAATTTTTTTACTCATAAACAGATTTATGTCTATTAATGCACGATTTTGAATTATATCAACCAGCCAATCCTCGGTTTACAGAATGGAGACCCTATATGTGATGGCCAGTGGCGCCATAGCTATTGTTTTTCAATAATTTTTCTTAAGTCGAAATGCAACAACTATATGATATTTTTCAAATTGCATTCAAAAAAGCTGACGAAGAGAGATGATCAAAACATCTAACATATAACCTAAAAATGAAAATCCTGTTGCAATTTATGTAACGAATGAAGTAGGTGAACGTTGTGCAAATATGTCAGCAGATGTATGTCCTGTCCAAAACCAGTGCCCATCACATGTTTTATTTCATGTTTCCGTGTTTCCGAGAATTTTGCACTGTATCCGGTTGTAAGTAATTACTTATATATGTCAACATAATTATAACATTCGTAGCAATTATTGCAGGTAAAGCATTATGTTTGTTAAAGCGAAGTGACTTTATGGAACGAATACCAAAGAATGGAGATCTCTTATTCAATGCTTTACAAAAACTCATTCAGAATAAAGGTATGTTTCATAATGCATTGCTTGTGTTTTGTTTTGTTCTTTGCGTGTGTTGTGTACAGTTATATGCTTGTGTGTTGTTTTGTCCATTGTTTGTGTTTTGTATGGTTCATTGCTTCTGTGTTGTATTGTCCATTGTTTGTGTTTTGTATGGTTCATTGCTTGTGTCATGTATTGTCCATTGTTTGTGTTTTGTATGGTTCATTGCTTGTGTCATGTATTGTCTATTGTTTATGTTTTGTATTGTTCATTGCTTGTGTGTTGTATTGTCCATTGTTTGTGTTTTGTATGGTTCATTGCTTTAGTGTTGTATTGTCCATTGTTTGTGTTTTGTATCGTCCATTGCTTGTGTCATGTATTGTCCATTGTTTATGTTTTGTATTGTTCATTGCTTGTGTGTTGAATTGTCCATTGTTTGTGTTTTGTATAGTTATTTGCTTGTGTTTTGTATTTTTCATTGCTTGTGTTTTGTATTGTCCATTGTTTTGTTTTATATCGTTCATTGCTTGTGTTTTGTATTGTCCATTGTTTGTGTTTTGTATTGTTCATTGCTTGTGTTTTGTATTTTTCATTGTTTGTGTTTTGTATTGTTCACTGTTTGTGTTTTGTATAGTTATTTGCTTGTGTTTTGTATTGTTCATTGCTTGAGTTTTGTATTGTTCATTGTTTGTGTTTTGTATAGTTATTTGCTTGTGTGTTGTATTGTTCATTGCTTGTGTTTTGTATTTTTCATTGTTTGTGTTTTGTATTGTTCATTGCTTGTGTTTTTATTGTTTATTGCTTGTGTATCTTATTGCTATTGTATGTGATTTTTTGGTGTTTCTAGTTTTCATATTTGGAATGTCATCGGATTGTTGAGAAGGGAGTCAAGCGCGGATTCAGGCGTGGCGTGGCGGGCGTCCCCCCTAAAATTTGCAAAGCATGGGTTTTCCTTAGCTTAATAAAGAATATTTCGATAATTTTACCTAAAAAAAATTTAATTCGTGCCCCCCTAACCTAAAATCCTGGATCCGCCCCTGGAAGTAGCAGGTTATTATTGTTGTTTTCTTTGCAATTGTCTACATGCATTTTTGCACACTTTTTGTTTGAGTTTTTTTATTCATTTATTGATTTTAAAACATTATTATTAACACGTGTTTGTAAAAAATGAAGATAAAAATTTATGAATTTTATGCGTCCGATACGTTTTTCTGGATTTACCTTTATCAAGAACGCTCAAAGCCGAATATTTGAAAGCCAATGATGTAGAAGAATCGAAACAGATGAAGAGCTATATGACAAAAAGGGGACCTAAAAATTAAAGCGAATTCCATCTTAGGTCAATTTTACCTTGAAAAGATATAAATAGTTATTACTTATGTTAGTACAAGTAATGAATAAAGTGGGTCTCATTTAAAGAAAAGATACCTCTTTTTTAACTTTGATTTGATGGAATTAAAAAAATAAGCATTTTATATTGTCTCTGGCATGAATTAAATTGAAGTGCAGCAGCTGTTATTAAACTTCCACTCAATCTATTATAGTCCTTAATGTCTTTAAGTGATTCCGTCACAGCTGATATGTTAATATTGCCGACAGTATAAAAATAATATAAACCAATTAAAACTTATGTTCATAGTTTAATTGCCAAAAATCTGCAACTTTGCTGATCCCATATAAGTTAATAACGGCCGTGAGTGCTTTGCACTATCTACAAGGTAAATCAGTGACAAATAAGATATATTATTTACTTATGTTAGTTTAATTCAGGGCTGTAATTTAGTACACTTCCTACTTCTTTATCTGAGGGTATCAATAACAAATCTTTATACCAGGAAGTTCTGACTTATAAAGATTTAACTATGCTCTTTACCATTCTATAATTTGGACGTTTTATACAGGTAAGGATGCAGCAAGTTTTTGGCATATCTTAAGGCAATGTATACGTAATTCATATCAATAGTTCACTATGAAATGTCAGTTGATGTAGCAATGTATTGCTTTCTTTTTATGTCTTATGAGTTCTAAATGCATATACAAAACTTCATCAAAATCCCAGATATCGTCCAATTACGTATACTTTGTCTTGATAGTAAATGTTATCATAGTTTGATTGTATATTCTTCGTTTCTTCTTGCATCTTCGGGTTTCCTAAAGTTTCGTTATTTGGAGATTGAAACAACAAATCTTGAGTTACATTTTTTCACTGTCGGCTCTCCGTCGTTTTGAAATACAAAAACTCATTTACAATAAAGGTATGTTCCATAATGCATTGCTTGTTTTGTATTGTTCATTGTTTGTGTTTTGTTTTATTTATTGCATGTTTTGTTTTGTTTTATTCTTTGTTTGTTTGTGTTTTGTATTGTTCATTGCTTGTGTTTTGTTTTGTTTATTGCATGTATTTGTTATTTTATTTAATGTTTATTGTTTACCTCAGAATGTTGTGAGTTGTTGGCTCATTTACCTACATCATTAACAATAATAAGATGTGATGCGATTGCAAATGAGATAACTTTCCACCAGAGACCAAAAGACGTAGAAGTTAATAACTATAGGGCACCGTTCGGCCTTCAATAATACGCAAAACCCATACTGCATAGCAAGCTATAAAAGGACCCGACATGAACAAATGTAAAACAGTTCAAACGAGAAACTAACGGCTTGATTAATATAAAAATCAATAAACGAAAAACAAATATGATATACAGCAACAAACGACAACCACCGAATTACAGGCTTCTGACTTCGGACAGGCACATATAGAATGCGGCGGGGCTAAATCTGTTTACTGACGCCCAATCTTTTCCTTACCTGGAACAAGATTGTAACCATACAACAAAAGAACAAACGATAAAAATCAGTTGTAAGAGGCTTGACTCATAAGATCGACACAAAGCACACACAATCAAAACTACTAACAAAAATGCTTTAGTCACAAAGTAAGAATATGAGAGTACTTGCAGTTACTGAAAGCTTGTTCAAAGCCAATAACAACTAATATCAGTACACATTATAGGTTTAGTGTAAAGATGTCATAAACAGCCAGAGAAAAACATGATATTGTCCAATGCCAAAATATATATAAGTACCGTCAGAATGTAGGACCATTAATGTTCATAGCTGTATAGCAATAGTATTTAGTTATGTTTTAATCTATTGATAACAAAATTAATGTCTGTACCGATAAAAACAATGGTAAAAGATCTTATTACAATGTTAAATGTATAACCTTTTAGAATAAGTTTAAATAAAGGATAGATAAGTTAACACGGATTGTATCTAAAATTACGTGCTCTATAAACGAAAAATTAGGTAGTGATATCACATTTGTAGTAAATTTTCCACAGGTACAGTCAAACTTCCAAACCAAATCTTTGTATCTATGTGAACGTTTTAAGTAATTTTTTATAAGACTTTAACCAGTGGTACATAGATTTCGTCTTCTTTAATTTATTTACATTTATATACAATGCTTAAATGCATACCTGGAATGTAAATCCTTCAACAAGATTGAGAAGTTTGAAAATGGATTTTAGAATTTTATTGTGTTTTGTTATTTTATATCTAATTTTGTTATCCATTTGTTTGAAATGAATGCGGAAACAAATATGATATTTGATTATGACAATTGAAAACTTAATTATCTTTGTGGGCCTGTGTTAAAGTTGTATATATATCATGAAATTTATGACAGATTAGAAGTGACTTTGATAGATTACTTCATATCCTACAATCATCCAAATCTAATAAAAGGTACAAGTAAGATCATGCGATCACGCTGTTCGTTTACTATACAAATAATCTCTACGTGTATCCTTCGTAAAAGGGGGATAAGATACTCAGGGGGTTTAATAAAGACACAAGTCGAAAATACAAACACACTACGTATAAAACTTGCGACTGAGCAACACGAACCGTCCAAAAAACCGGAGGAGACTTATATTCAAATCATTACACATGACAGTCCTTTTAGTGTCCTCTCTGTGGTTTGCGTCCAACTTCAATCAAGTAATGCAGATTTCTGAAAAAAAAGGAGACAACGACTGCGAATTAAAATACAAATCAAACGTCTATATTTAATTACAGGATAAAATATTTATAGCATTATATATAGTTTTCTAGCTCTGACTTTTGAATCTGTAATGCAGAAAATTAACACTGCAAAATATAAAATTATGATTTTTTTTTATTTTTGAAAAAACACAACTCGCGTTCGCAAATTAAAAAAAAAATATTTATCTCACAGTGACTATACCTACCACAACAAAGAAAACTCTTTCAAAAACATTCAAAGTGAATTGACTGATAATGCTTGCATATTTAGGACGATCGCAGGGTAATGCCATATAAGTATACACTGCTTTGTACTAGACCTAGTCCTTGAGACGTGGTAGCTCACAAGTTAACAGTCCCTAAAAAGACATGTTTACCTGAACACAATATTCTGACTCCTAGCGTACCATTTATTGTCCTTACTCTTAAATATGAAAAGCAGCAAATGTTAGTTCTAAAGTACGTTTAAACCAACCGTAAATCAAACTTATTACATCTCTCACTCAAAATGGTTCCGCCACAGCAATAGACCGTCAAAGATAAGAATCATAAGACCTTTTAAAACAACAAACCATTGCTATACCAACTGACATTTCATAGTGAACTGTTGATATTAAGTAATACTAGTAGTTACTCATATGCTAATTCGGCGGAAAAGTTAAGTTGCTTATATCAGGATATAATGATATTTTTCAAAACTTTAAGATAATTGATTGGCAATTGAGAGTACATAACCTGAAGGTCAATAGACTGGAAGTAATAATAAATTAAAAGTATTTCCCTAAAAAAAAATTCTTTTATTCAACCATTGGAAACAACTTTATGTTTCTGAACCCGGATTTTTCATTTTACTGATATCATTCATAGCTATTAATGAATGCATACCAAATATATACAACCAGAATATGTAATTTTTTGCAGTTAGTTTAAACAGTCCGATGTCTTCAATGTGCAGTGGTGGAGCTACTGTTCCTATGAGTCCGTTTCATATCAAAACTGGTGAGTTTACTTAATAATACAATAATAATAAATCAGATGTTGTTCATACACTTTGTCGTTTTAGACTGCTTTAATAAATAAAGAAAGAAAGAAAAAGAAAACATTCAGAAAGTTATCTTTATCCTCCGCGGTGCATTCTTTTAAGAAGAAATTAGATGTGTTAAATCGATTAAAAAAAGACTGAATGCCCTCAACAATATATTTACAATCTTCTTAGACTACAAAAAGGTATAGTTACTTTCCAATGTATTTTTAATCGGAAAACTCGAGAAACCAAATTGAATTTGTATATTAAATCAAATTGTTATTCAGTCCCATTCAATTTTGATAGGAAAATAGCAATTTCACATTCTTTGCATTGAATAACACTAATAGTCTTGGAGCTCAAATGAATTTATGTGTAATCAAACAAAGTCCGCCATTGACCTTTATCTCATTTCCATGGTCCGCGACTGCTTACAAAATTGGATAGTTTTTTGTCACGTTAGTTTTTCATTTATTATGAGTAATAAGATAAATGAAATCGTGGTAATGTTTACGTGTGCGTCAGGTCCGTTTGTCGTACACTTAATGCAATAGGTGTATGAATTATTGTAAGGTGTACATGTCCGTTTGTAGTGTTCATCTGACCTTGGTCCTATTTCCATGCTTAATAGGTTAACGTTAAGTTGTCGTGATTAGATCCGTTTCACATATACTTTAAGCAACAAGTCGACTTTCTTTAATGTCTGGAATGATTGTAAGGTGTACATTCCGTCTGACAGGATTCATCTGATCTTGACTTCAAGGTTTCATGGTTCATTGTTAAGTTGTCGTAATATGGTCAGTTTCACAAGTACTATATATATGCAAACGGTCAATTGTTTGGTGAATGGAATGGTTGTTAGGTTAACACGTCTGTGTGGCGGGGATAATCTGACCTTAACCTAGTTATCATGCATCATTGGTCAACTTTAGCTTTTCGTGATTATTTAGGTATGATTTTAATTTACTGATAACAAAATATGTTCGTTTCTCAAATACTATATGCAATAGGTCAACCATATTTAGTGTATATAGTGATTGTAAGGTTTAAATCTCCGTCAGACAGGGTTCACTGAACTTTGACTTGTCCGTCAGACAAGGTTCACTTAACTCTGACTGCATGATAGTATTAAGTTTATGTGATTCGTGTAGTAAATCCTTCTTCTTACAGACTTTCAACATAAATTTGAATCATGATCAGTAAAGCAGGCGAGACATTTCAGCGTGTGCACTCTTGTTTCTTTAGAAAGTATATTTCTTATTTTTTTTTGTAAACATTTTTTTTTTACAGAACCCATATCCCCGTTGTTGCATCCTTTAGTTTTTACGTCAGCTAATACTCAAACGACATCTATGCACGCCCCAAGCATACCACGTCCATGTGTTCCAATATTACCTCGTACACAGTCAACGATTCTCCCGCCAACCTGTAGTAATCCTGTGAATTCAAACAAGTCGTTCAGCAATACAGTGTCAACAGTACCAGGTAGTTGTACTTTTATTGTTAATGGATAAATGTACTTAAACTTTTGTTCTTTATATACTGAACATATTACGAGATAATTTGCAGGACATCTATTGGAAAGTTCTTTTTGCTCTATCTCACTTCCTTCGTGTTTCTGACATACCCAAATATCTATGATTGAACAGCACATCATACATGCAATGGAAATAAATCTATATCTATGACAAACGACAGAAACCGCAAAGAAAATTAAACAAATAACAATACTAGTATATGATCATCTTTTTCGTGCAGTATAAAACCTGATTTTAAGACATTTATAAAATGTTTTAATTTCATTAGAGATAGTACAACAATATTTTAGCAAATACTTACGTCGGGAAGGACCAATGTTATATTTCAATATTAATTTCTAGTAACTGTTTTTGCTAATAAAAGTATAATCCAATCTAAGTACTTATTTTGCAGGAATATTGAGTCCAGCTTCAAGTAATGTTGATACTGAGAGTGCTTCAAGTGATGGTGGATCTGTTTCAGATCCAGAAGGTATGGATTGACAAGTTATCTCTTCTAACTGTTCTGTACATATTACACTATTCAAAAGGCAGGTCGTTTTTCACAACGAACCGTCTTGATTCTAATCATAAACATAATGTGCAAAATTGAAAAGCGACCACAAAAGATCTGAAACCAGTCATAAACTCTTATAAAAGAAAAACATAAAGAGACAGTCACAAATACGTATGAAACTTCTGACACTATAGGTACATACCTATAAACATACGGCGGGGTTCAGCTAGATTTATAAAAACTCACATCCCTTATCTCGACTAGTACAAATACAAGTTACAACTTTTATTTTTCGGGGGGATGGTCACAGTTTGTTTGTTAGTTTTTTTTTGTTGATTTGTTTGGTTTTTTTATTGGGGGGAGAAGGGGGTTAATACCAACTTAGGCCTTTTATATTGTATTATCATTAACTCGTACGTCTTTCAAGTTTGAATACTCTTTTTATAGCACAAGAAAACGACAGTCGTCCAACAGAGCCGACTAATGAACGGTTTCTACCTACCACCATTAAAACTGAAATACAACATTCCATACAGTCAGCATTCCAAGCTGTTAATAATAGCACAAGACCAGAATCGGGCACTGGTATGTCAGCTTGTTAGTAAACATACTTAATAGTCATGTTCAAATCTTATGAATCGATGAATCGATTAAGAAGATACAAATCAAGGTAACACATAAAAACTGAGGGAATCTCAAAAGGAGCAAGACCGGGTGCGTCGACAGGGTAAGCTTCTCCCGCTATGAATGCAATACCCTCCATACAAATTGAAACCAAGTCATATGCCGGGTTTTGTTGTCACATTTACATTCTATACATTTTTTCTCAAATATAATTACCCTTTATAGTATAACGATTTCAGATCACACTAGACTCTTTTCTGAAATAACCAGGTATGCTTTGGATCACATTTTTTAACAGATAAATACCTTAAACGTCCGAGAGAAAAAAAAAGCAAACGGTCGTTTAGAAACAGAAGCAAAAATCCTTTTTAGTCAAAATTTACCTCTAAAGAAGCTGTAACCCTACCAAGGTATGGGGAAGATCTAGGGCGCTCTTGAAGTGTAAGCAGATCTTGCCCAGCTAGTGGCAACCGTCATGTTGCTGAAGGAAGGTAAAACTCGGGATGAGTTGAATTTGGTAATATCACAATCCAAGAAAAGAGGATATAAACGTATTATACCGATTTCAATACACACGGCACGATTATCGTTTTAGCTAGATGACTCAATTATGAAGAAGAAGAAAAATTTGAAGTAAACACATTGTAAGCACCACTGTTTACAATGTGTGCAATGTTTGGAATTTTTTATTGCATTGTGTACATTGTTGAAGTACTATCTTTATCATGCTTATGATGTCATACTGACAAAACGACAAAATAGTTGTTTATGTTAATATTGATTTCATTAAGCACAATAAGGCTATTGCTAGATTTTTCTAAATGACCGAAAAATGTGACTACTATTTTACAGAGTGTCGCTTACTGTGGGAGTTCATTCATCAGTTACTGCAAAATCCCATGTTCAGTCAGTTAGTTTGTTGGGAAAGTGAAAAGGAACTGATATTTAGAATCAACAACCCTACAGGACTAGCTCATATGTGGGGGAAACAAAAAAATAGGACAAATATGACGTACGAGAAATTATCAAGGGCTCTGAGATATTATTACAGGATGAATATTATCAAGAAAGTATCTGGGAAACGCCTTACTTATAAGTATGTTTTATAGTTATCATTTTAACTTGCCCCCATCTCCTTCTGCTTTGAACAAACATGATGAAACAATAAAAACGTAAGATGTCAAATTCGACTCATGCGGGCAATGTAAGGATATGAAGAAAAAATCATGGTTATCACCGTCAATGTTTCGAAATGTTTTTTTAATGAAAAAGAGCACACAGGCTACATTTTCGCCACTGTTTCGTCTATTGATAATCAATCATTTATTACACGTCCCACCTTTTACAAACAAGTACAAAACACCTGGATTAAAACAAGCATAAATAATAGTCATATAGAATATTTACACATATGAAAACAAAAGACTTAAAACCATAAAACGAGAAGGAAAAATCATTTACATGCATATAATAAAATACGACGTTTATATAAAATTGGCACACAAACGGATATTGGTAACTACACCTAGAAACACAGATAGTCTATCTTGACTGTATAAATTATTCTAAAACAACTGTCTCTAATATCGTCATATAATGGGCAACATGAAAGTACACCATCCTCGTCCTCAATGGAATTCGGACAGCAAAAGCAAGTTCTTTCTTGTACTCGCAAATTCTCACATCTTCCGGACTCGATACGGATAGGAGCTACTCCACACCTAAAATTTGCGTATGCAGTTTTGTATGATGTTGGCATGTTCATCATTTTGTATGATTCTGTGTGGCTCCAACATTGTCAAATCTGACTCGCGATCGTGGGGTTTTTACGGTAGACCATGTGACCTGTCGCCTCATTTAAAATGACCGGTGACCTTTGAGAATTTTTAAAACTATTTTTGGGGTGTTATATTTGCTATAGTGACCTGTGACCAGATGCCGCAATTTTTAAACGTGACCTTGTGACCTAAGGAGGGTCTCAGAACCCTTTTGAACCCCATTCTGTTTCAAATTTGTTTTTAAACTGTCTGTACATGGGTGAGTTTTTGTCCGTTCCTCCCCAGAGCATTGATTCTGTTCAAGGCCTCATGTCATTTTGAAATAGAGTAATTTAAAATTTAACAACAGAATAAAACATAATGTCTATTTGTCGGAAAATTGTATATTGAAAACATGCCGTGTTGAAAGTTACCGTGGTTGATTGTTAAAATACGAAATAAAGGTCTTCCCTTAGCAGGAGGATAGCATTTTTACTTATTGAACACTATAGATAGATAACAGTTTTGTTATTTTTATTTTTCATGTTGTTTAGTTTCCGTTTAAGTATACTTTGTACGATCATAAGGCCGTAATGGTACATATTCTACTTGTGTTTATAATTGTATGTATGCATACAACTAAGGGTAGGACAAGATTTCTTTCTACTGAAAACACCGACTATTCTTTCTTCTTTCATATATGTTTAAAATCAGATGATACTCCTGCTTTGCTGCTGTCACTATTAAATCGCAGTCTGTAGTCTTAATATAGTTGGTTCTGTTCATTTCATGAGGATTGGTCGGTGATGCTTTTTGTCACTGTTTACCTTTCATGTTACCCTTTTTATCATAATTTATATTCTGATTTTAGATTTATGCAACAACCATCAACGATACAAAAAGGTCAACGAGGTGCTAAACCACATAACAAGTGTGATATTCCTTTATTTCCGTCATCAAATAGATTCCAGTATTCGGGTCTAAAAGATGAGCCGTCAGAAGATAAAATACAACAAAAACCGCCTCCCCTTAGTCCTGCGCTAAATGAGGGTCATCATGAATTGGAAAATCACAGACATCTAAAGAGACATAGTCCAACAGAAAATTCAAAGCCTTCTGGTAGAAATTCTACCAAATATTTGCAATCAAAAACTCTTGATATTGAAAACTATGAACATACTGCTTATCAGTTAGGAAATGGAGACATGTCAAATTCAAATTTTAAACAATTATCACCAAACTTTCATATTCCATCCACCTCATATGAGAAAAGTAAGGCATCGAAACTACCACCGCTTATGGTCAGGGCAAATGTGACTAACGATGTTAAATATTCTCCTGATGTAAAACTCAATTTGGGTGTATATGGAATGCACAGTCCTTTAAGCTTTCATCAAAACAATAAACATCACGTAATTAATGATTCTTTAAAGCAACAATACTATGAGGGAATGGCTTCCCCAAATTTTTCGATAAGTCAATTTAACGATGACCCCCAGGACGAACCAGAAGACCTGTCCTTTGCACCAAAGAAACAACGACTCAACTCGGAATCAAATTCCGGCAAAATGTCTCCTTCAGATGAAGAAAAACAACAAGTTTCTAAAGACGAAGAGAACAATATATTACCATTGTTGATTAATTATAAAAAGACTGCTATCAGCACGAACAGCTGACCCTATAATTAGTTGGGGGTTTTCGTACTTTTTTAAATACTTTTTGTAAAATCATTGTTTTATATATTATTCTAGCTGTGATAAACACGAGAAATATTTGGTGCAGTACAATATACTATATGAAATGCATTGAACATAAGTGATCTTGTAATACTGAAATATTTAAACATCAGAACATTTTATACAAATGTACCTTATTCCACTCCATTTAACTTGTCTTGTATATGCATGAAATATTAACCACTGAGATGGATGGACGGATGGATGAATGGTTAACGTCCAGTGGCAAATTAAATGTATATTCAGGACGAGAATAGGTTAATGCCATATGCATATGAACTCTGATTTGTACCACTGGGCGGTTATCCGACAACAACCAACCGTCCACCATTTAGTAATGTTCAATAAGTAAGCTCAGAGGCGGATTTAGGGGGTGGGGCATATGCTTGGAGCTACATATATGGTTACTGCAGAGACTTTCCACATGTCCAACTCCAAACGTTGCCTAGTTTGGGGACCCCGGGCACCCCCTTTTTCAAAATCTTAGATCCGCATCTGCAGTCTTATTGACTATAAATTTATATTAAATCAAAGAAAATTTGCAAAGCGGTTAAAATTCTTTACTCTTTCGGGATTATGAAAATCTTATATTTTAACATTATACAGAATCTTTAGTAATTAATTTCAAAAACCAATATTTCTCGTGTTGCTTTAGTTAATGCAATCTTATAATGGTCGTAGTTTTGTACCTTTTTTATATCTATAAAGGTATGAGCTAGATGTTCTAAACGCTTACGCCTTATTGTGGTTGTGCTAGTTATCAAATTCCATGCAATGCAGATATTCGGTATTTATGTATGCTTTCACTTCTATAACAAACCTTTCATTATACACCCAAATAAGCATTTTTATGATGTAGATATATATATTTATTTGTCAATACATTATAAAGAATTCAATATACCACTTATGTCGGTAAACGATAGAATCTGAAAATGAAGAGGTTGCAAAAATATGTAAAACAGTATTACATAAATATTAGCATTTTCCTAATATTTATTTTGATATGATATATACTAAATATAATAAGTAAACCAGATTACCAAGTACTGATGAATATCTACATAGTATGGGATGTTGTGACTTGAAATGTCTTTCATTATAACCGTTATGAGCTTTATCAAATATACATATAGTGCTTTATCAATACTATATTTTGTTATTGTGACATGTATATTGTTAATAAAATGTCAAAGACGTAAATATTTTTACAACAAAAATATACGACTAACACATCAAAACTTCTAAACTTACTAAGTTCTACTGTTTTGTCGTAATTTTTAGTATTTCTTGACTTGACTGACAAAAAAAAATCAAACTAGAGGCTCTAAAGAGCCTGTGTCGCTCACCTGCATCTTCAACAAAGGTCTTTTTTTGGTAAAAATCAGCATTAAAGGGGAACAACGCATTTAAGAGTTAACTGACAATTTCAGTTAATGTTGACATATTTGTAGATCTTATCCTGCTGATAATTTTTCCTTTTCAACGTTTCTATTTGCCTATTATAGTTTTCAAGATAATAGGCAAAAAATGAAAAAAAATGAAAAAAATTATCATTAAAGGGCAATAACTTCAAAACGAGTCTACTTAATATTTTGGCAATTTTGGCTCATTTGTAGATCTTGTCTTGCTCATCATTTGTGCTATTTTAAGTTTCTATCTATCTATAACAGTTTTCAATATAATTTGCAATAATGGGGAAAATCGTCATTATAGGGCAATAACTTCAATAGGGTGTCGACTAACGATTCTGGTTATGTTGACTTATTTGTAGATCTTGTCTTGTTGATAATTTTTGATTATTATCGTTTCTATTTATCTATTATAGTTTTAAAGATATAAGGCAAAAATGCAAAAAATGGGGAAAAATCGTCATTAAAGGGCAATAACTCTAATAAGGAGTCGTCTGACGATTTTGATCATGTTTCATTTATTTGTAGACCTTGTCTTGTTGATCATTTTTGCTTTTAAAGTTTCTGTCTATTTATTATAATTTTCGGGATAATAGGAAAAAAATTAAAAAATGCTAAAATTCGTCATTTAAGGGCAATAACTCCTGTAAGAAGTCTTCTGGCAGTTTTGACGCAAATAGACAATAGGTAGAGCTCAACATTCTGAACATTTTTGCCTCCGTCAGCATTTCTCTATTTATAGCGGTTTTCAAAATAATAAGCAAACTTTGCATTTTACCCCTATGTTCTATTTTTAGCCATGTCGGTCATCTTAGTTGGCAGGCGGGGTCATCGGACACATTTTTGAAAATAGATAACTAATGATGATTGTGGCCAAGTTTGGTTAAATTTGGCTCAGTAGTTTCAGAGGAGAAAATTTTTGTAAAAGTTAACAGACGACGACGGACGACGGACGCCAAGTGACGATAAAAGCTCACTTGGTCTTTTAGGCCAGGTGAGCTAAAAAGAAAGGTATCAATTACTCACAAAAAATACACAAGAAACCGAAAACTCCTGTCATGCAAACTGAGAAACCCTTCGTTGCTTCGAACGGGTGATCAATTCCTACTCCTGGAACAGCACTCCTCTTGAGTTACTATAGACATGTACGATTACCGTTTCAGACAAAGTTCATGGTAAGAAAGTAGTTTTACTAACTTTAATATAAGGAACAAATTCTTGGTTATCGTTGGTATAGATAATGATCCAACCAAACTGATCAATCTAAATATTAGGAAGCGCTTATTTGAACTGAACAAATTAGAATCGGTATTTCTGAAGTAATAAATACAAAAATTTATCGAAATGGATGCATTTTCGCACTGTTGATAAAATTGATTGCTAAGTTACCCACACGTTGGGCTAGGTATTGAAGATCCGTTTGTCATGATAAACAACTATCTAAAATTTGGTGGGTTTTTTTAGGAAGACGTTACTAAGTTGAAAACCTTTTAAACAATCCAATTGCCCTTTTGAACAATAAAATATGTTAAGACTAACAACTATCTCAAATGAAAACAAAATATCACTTTTAACATGTGCAAATGTAAAGCCAGATCCGACTTAGCATATTTGTAAGTTAACGTCTAGTGGCAAATATTCAATGCATATTTAAGATGAGAATGAATTTAACAATTTGGTGGTTCTGCAAAGTTTACCGATTGTAATAAATGTCAGAAATGCTATGTTTAAACATTATATATACTTTATTCTGATAAACCGTTCTAAATGCAATGGTACACAGAAGAACGTAGACACATAATACAAAGGTACATATGTAAAGGAAATAAACAATAAATACAATCGAGATACATAGATATACTTACATGTTAAAAATTTACAAAGTATCTTAAATGGAAGGCCTTAAAATATGTAGGAGGAGGAGATTGTTAATTGAGAGAATCCACCTCATCGTTTATAACTCTAATGTCTACGCTTATATTGATGAGGTTTATTCATAAGTTCACAGAACTTAAGAGTATTACAATTTTTCGCGAATTTTTTATCTAAGTACTCTTGTCCTTCTGTTGTAAAAAAAATCCCATTTGATTAGATAATTGTATTCATCACATATAAAGCAGTCCGAGTCAAGATGATATTATCTAGCACAGAAACAACTAAAATGCGACTGGGTCAACTCAAAAACGTTAGAAGGGGTTAACGTATACACACCTAACTATTAAAAAAAGATTTACGGAAAGAGTATCCAAAGGAACAAGTTATTAGAATATAATGGTAAAATTAAAACACAAGAAAAAATCGTGTGTTTTCACTTACCACCCATCTGTAAAGAATATCTTCAGTGTCATTCTAAAACATTGGAAATATATAGTATATTGAAGAAAAATGCAAACAATCCAAGATCTTTCCCGAGCCCCTTATGATAATTTTCAGGAATTCAAATAGTCTGAGTAATCTGCGGGTATGGACTGAAGTGTCTAAATAGGGTGTGGCTACTGTCCTGGCAGTTAATTAATTGGATAGTTAATTGGATGATAGAGAAGGAGATGTGGTATGATTGCCAATGAGATAACTATCCAATAGAGACCCAATGAAGCGGATCCAAGTAACTATAGGTCACCGTATGGTCTTCAACAATGAGCAAGATCCATATCATATAGCCTCCGACTTGACAAAATGTAAAAAAAATCAAAAGAAAAACAACGAACTGATTTATGACCAAAGCAATCAACGAAACACAAATATGACAGACAGCAACCAACGACAACCACTGAATTTCAAACTCCTGATTTGTGATAGGCATCGATAGAATGTGGCGCTTTAAACATGTTTGTGAGTGCTCTATCTTCGGTATAGAATGTGGCGCTTTAAACATGTTTGTGAGTGCTCTATCTTCGGTATAGAATGTGGCGCTTTAAACATGTTTGCGAGTGCTCTATCTTCGGTATAGAATGTGGCGCTTTAAACATGTTTGCGAGTGCTCTATCTTCGGTATAGAATGTGGCGCTTTAAACATGTTTGCGAGTGCTCTATCTTCGGTATAGAATGTGGCGCTTTAAACATGTTTGCGAGTGCTCTATCTTCGGTATAGAATGTGGCGCTTTAAACATGTTTGCGAGTGCTCTATCTTCGGTATAGAATGTGGCGCTTTAAACATGTTTGTGAGTGCTCTATCTTCGGTATAGAATGTGGCGCTTTAAACATGTTTGCGAGTGCTCTATCTTCGGTATAGAATGTGGCGCTTTAAACATGTTTGCGAGTGCTCTATCTTCGGTATAGAATGTGGCGCTTTAAACATGTTTGCGAGTGCTCTATCTTCGGTATTTGAGTACCTGCACAACATAAAAACAAACTGTAAACATAAGTTGGAAATGTCTTGACTAAACAGATCGGCACGAAGCACAAAAAACAACTTATATAAAGACAAAAGACACAAAGTGCCGCTCGAAGAGTATTCGTAGTTACTGAAAGATGATTCAAAACCAATTACAACTTATTACAAAATCGTGTTCTCCCAGATTTACGCTTCATAAATTCGTCAAATTTGATATTTTCTGCTTCAAACTTTCCAATGATATAAAAAGTTTATGCCAGACATGATTTTGAAGAAGATATTCAACATTATATATATTTCAATTTTGAACTAATATCTTGAAAAAAAATGAACGTACTAAACTACTAACCTGGCGGAATTTTTACGTTCAAACACGAAAAAAATGGTAAAATAAGTTTTTTTGGAAGATTGTGAAATTAATAATTATGCAAAAAGTTTCATGCCAGACAGACGTTTTGAGGGCATTATTTCAATTAGAAATTAGAATAGAAATTCAAGTAGGTAAGTAAGTAAGTAAGTAAGTAAGTAAGTAAGTAAGTAAGTAAGTAAGTAAGTAAGTAAGTAAGTAAGTAAGTAAGTAAGTAAGTAAAGTAAGTAAGTAAGTAAGTAAGTAAGTAAGTAAGTAAGTAAGTAAGTAAGTAAGTAAGTAAGTAAGTAAGTAAGTGAGTGAGTGAGTAAGTAAGTGAGTAAGTAATTAGGTAAAGTTTATTTAGCGTCGGCACATAATGTACAAACAAACAACTTTGTATCGATCTGATGAGGTAAGCCCTTTTCAAGTGATATTTATAGTTTGTTCTTATGTTGTGCCGTAACACCAATTTCCCATGTTGGGGGAGGGTTGGCGCCTTCAAACATGTTTAACCCCGCCACATTCTTTATGTGTTTGTCCCAAGTCAGGAGACTGTAGTTCAGTGGTTATCGTTGATTCATGTCTGTCATATTTGTTTTTCGTAAATTGTTTTATTACAAATTAAACCGTTAGTTTTCTCAATTGAATAGTTTCATATTTTTCATGTTGGGGCATTTTATAGCCGACTATACGTTATGGATTTTTCTCATTGCTGAAGACCGTAAGGTTTCCTATATTTGCTTACATCCACTTTATTTGAACTTTGGTGGATAGTTGTCTCATTGGCAATCATACCACATCTCCTTATTTTTATGATAAACATAAGCTAAAGAAAGCTCTTACAACCGACTATAACATATATGCAAAGCATCACAATACAACAAGGTTTCAAACAAGACAAGTACAAATATTATAAGCATAAAAATGTTAGCAGATATAGTTTTGAATAAGATAAACACACATATAATGATATATAAGCATCATATTAAGTTAAAATACGATATGGGTTAGAAGAACTTTTAAAATGTCACATAAGCACATAAATAATTTAATACAAAGCAATGAGGTGATGGCAAATTATAAAATTCACAACAAGCAGAAATCACTATTATTCATGTTATTAGCATATAGCAAGGAATGTACGTATGCAAATAAGCATGTTTAATAAATCAGGTAGCAAAATTTAGAGCAGAAAAAGCAGGAAGCAGGAACATAATTTAGCCATGAGACAGCAGAGTTTGGTATTTACAGGCACTGCAGAAACAATTTTGTCCACCACACACGGCCAGCTCGAAAAGTAATTTTAAACTGATCCAATGAGGCCATATTTCTGGACTCATTTGGCAGTCTTTTCCTAAGTCGTGCTGCCTCATACCTGAAAGAATTCTTACCATACTTTGTAGTTCTTTGTCTTGGTATGTCTGCACAGTTCGAATAGGCCTATCTAAAATTATATGATTTTTTAAAATTTCAGCCAGCAACTTCTATTTAACAAAATTGAAAAAAATGAAAATATTACGGTATAAATTTGTAGCGTCCGAAGCGCTATTCTTGATTTACCTTTATCGGGAACGCTCATACACAAAAATGAAAGCCAAGGATTCATAACCATCTTAACTCGTAAAGGAGCTACTGTATTCACTGATAAAAAAAATTACATGTCTAAATTTTTCCTATAGAAAATTAATTTAAATTCTATTAACCTATACAATTAATGTTATGAAAACAAGAATTTATATACAAATCCTTATTGAAAATATTCTCTTCTTTATCATCTATTTGAATTTTGACCATAAGGTGAGTTTTTAAATAAAAGAAACAAGTAAAAAGGGTACGGAAAATAACTGTCCTGTTTTTATATCTTGTTGGTTACCTCCCTTGTGGCGCTTGGTTTAAAAACAAGTCACGTGATTTTTGACTGGGGGAAATTCGAAACAACAAACAACTGTACTTTGTAAAAAGCATTTAACGAAGATAATTTAAAGTATTATTCAGCGATGCCACCACAGTAAGAGACAGACCAATAAGGGAAATATGTACAATGAAATTGATTAGCTCCTTTATCGAAAAAATCCTATGTCAATGCAACATCATCAAATTATGTGATCATGACTCGGAAATCATTTCTGTCGCAATTTACTGTTTAATAGACCTTTGTTCTTTATTACTGTAAAAGGTGCAGCTCCGATATTCCGAAACCCCATTAGTCAGACTTCAAATTAGTTGGGACAATTAAGTTTTGGGAAGATGCAAAAAAAAGGGGGGTGGGGTCCTCAACATGGGATTTTTGGGTACAGACGTACAGCTTGGATTTCATACATGTGAACCTCCCGACGGGAGTACAATAATCCCGTTTTCAGGGGTCTCCTCCCGTTGAAGATTTCAAGAAAAAAAATCATATTTTGAAATCTTGTTATATTACGACTCATAAATATTTATCATGGCAAAATTATAAACCATTCATACATTTCTCAGTAATCACATATACATACACAGATGATACAGTTTTAGACATGCTAGAAATTTATATCACATGCCTTTTGCAACGAGGCTTCAAAACTTACCACTATGGCCCAAATGAAGTTTAGAAGTAAGAAAGTTTCTTCTTCAGAAGTCCTTTATATAGGTTCAGAACATGTCCATATCATCTGTACATTTGTCAATGGAGGAAGAATTGTGAAATTATTTTCTCAGCGGTTCGAAAGACACAGACACTAGATTTTCTTAAGACAATTAAACTTATAAACTTAAAATCAACATCAAGCTTGATACAAATGTGCAATAAGGATTGTTGGAAAGACATTTCAGTGTATAGTAACAGATCTTTATATCTTTGTTGTCGTTAAATTTAAATTTCAAATCTGATTATCATTCAATAATTTTAATCATTGCCTTAAAATTTCTTTACAAGCAGTTCAATTTATAAATATGTCTATGTTCCAACATATGAAAAGGTCATGTTCAACTGTCAGTCATTCCTACATAAGAAGAGATCTTACTGATATAGATAGTATTAGATTTGAAATGATGTAGTTTGAGTTATTTTACTTGGCTGCTATGTTAGAGGTGTTATGTAGCTGGTTGATTTTTTTAGACTAACTAAATTAAAACATGCAGTATAAGCAAATGTGAGAAATTATCCTTACTAGATATATGGTGAAGAATTGAGAAATTTTAAATTGTTCAGAAGACAACTTTTTCAGTCGAACTGTCAGCGCCAAAGTAGTATTTTGCTAATTTATAAAGGAATATTCAATAACCATTTGCCTCAGTTGTCCTCCAACATAGCAACTAAAGGTAAATAACTTTTGCTCAAATTGTGTCAATACTACCTACACTCTTTTTTTTGTACACAATGAAAAAAGTACAAAAATCATGCAATAAAAAAGAATTGAAGTCTCTTTAATTCATCAAACTACATGTATGTAAGTGAAGTGGAGGAGATGTGACACTATTTCTAGAGATAAAAACATGCATGCAAACTCTTTAAAATGATGTCCATCACTATAAAACCCAATGGAGTTTTTTTCAAAAATTGACAGTTATGTTGTGAAATTTGCAATAATGATTGCCATTTAGGCAACTTAAAAGAAAAGGTTACTTAACTATTGACTTTCTTTGATTTCTAGATAACAAATTTTGCTACAATAGTATTTACAAACATGACAAAAGTAAGTAAGTTGATATAACTGTGTTCTTTAATACACAGATGTACCATGATTGACATTTAACAAAGAATTCCACTCAAACTAGTGCTACGGAACATCTTGAAAGCTCTGTTCCTCAAGGCTTTTCTTTTTTCCCCCTGTGTTTAATTAATGTTTTTGTGTCATAAATATATACACACCTTCCCTTCTTTGATATTCCAACAGCTGCTTTGAATAAAATATTTGTTTATAAAAATAACTTGATGTAATATATATTTCAAATGTATGGATGTTGGCCTCACAGCACCAAACGTGTTTTTGATTTACTGTAAATAGTTCTCTGACATTATTTCCTAATTTTTTTAAGCAAAAAAAAAAAGATTGATAGACTTACTGTTAATTTAACAAATAATGTTTTTCAGAAGAGGAAAAACCCCCAGGAAAAATAAAAATGGAACTGGATCTCAGACAGAACCTGTTGAGGTGAGGACAAAAATCAATGTTCACATTCAATCATTCATATATATCATGTATATTGCAGGGTAATTGCCACTGGATTCTATACTGATAACATATATGATATATAGTTTTACTGGAAGTTTGTCTTCTTCAATGTGTCAAGGAACAAAATGAATATGATTCAAAACAAAATGTCATGATTGACATCTATCATAGAAGATTTTAGTGAATGTGCTCCCTAAGCCAGTTAAAATGGTTAAAGCCTCTCCCAAAAAGTTAGGCTCCAGATGGGCCTTTGGTACACTTATAGGTATAAAAATGATACACTAGATCGACTGATATCTGTTGGGCAAACAAATTTTTTCATAATGTCTTTGATGTTAACTTTGTCTTTTGTGCTTCTTGAATTGTGTGATATATAATTTTACAACAATTATAATTGGGGTTTGAGATAGGTCTTTAGTGTTTTGCATGATGTGAAAACCCAACTTTTATTTGTGTACATGTAACAGCATAAGACAAAAGCAGTTATTGCATGGACTTAAAATTGAAACATGCAAAAACATGTTTAATACTTCTTTCATTTTCTTTTTCACCATTTCATTATTATAATGAAAATAATAATAATTCTTTATTTAAACATTAACATGATTAGTATACAAATATATTTTATGATGGTATGATAATAAACCCCTAACGGGAGGGATTGTACTTGATTTTCATATGATGAAGACATAATCTTTCAATCAGTTTAATTGAGGTCTGGAGCTGGCATGTCAGTAACTGCTAGTAGTCCTTTGTTCATTTATGTATCATTGTCATTTTGCTTAGTTTCTTTTGTTACTTTTTCTGACATCGGACTCAGACTTCTTTTAAACTGAGTTTTACTGTGCGTATTGCTATGTGTTTCTTTATTCTACATTGGCTAGAGGTATAGGGGGAGGGTTTAGATCTCACAAAACATGTTTAACCCCGCTGCATTTTGTGCCTGTCCCAAGTCAGGAGCCTCTGGCCTTTGTTAGTCTTGTATGTTTTTTTAATTTTAGTTCATTTATATGTTTTGGAGTTTAGTATGACGTCCATTTTCACTGAACTAGTACACAATTTTATTTAGGGGCCAGCTGAGGACCACCTCCGGGTGCAGGATTTTCTCGCTGCGTTGAAGACCCATTGGTGGCCTTCGGCTGTTGTCTGCTCTTTGGTCGGGTTGTTGTCTCTTTGACATATTCCCCATTTCCATTCTCAATTTTAAATGAATAAATATAACAATAAACATGATAAAGATTTAAACAAAACATCTGTCATGCGTATTAAAGTTACTTTTTGACATCTTAAACAGCTACAATTGTTTTTAAATTTATTCTAACATTGAATACATTTTGCAGCTACTATTTGCATGAAAATAGAATTGCTCAGCACATTTTAGTCATGTTTGATCTGAGACAACTCAGAATACAATACACATGAGAGATCTAAGTAGAAAAAACAAATTTTCTTGTTCTTCTTAGCTGGTGTTCTGGATGGGGTTTACATGATAGAGAAAATTTTAGGGTGCTCATTTATATATAGATAATAAGGAATAATTGGCAAAATAAATAGAGTAGAGAAAAATGACTTCAACAAACTAAAGAACACAAGTTAAAGAAAACCATTTGATAAGCTTGTTACCTGTAACAACAAAATATGACACCTGCTGGGATGATTTTTTAGCTTAGGTTGTAAACTTGTCATAAATATGGCAGGTAAAATTGTAGATTTTTGTTTCCTTTTACATTTTAGAGACAAAATTAATCAGAAATACTTTCGTCATTTATAAAATCAGTTGGTAAATGGCAAAAATTATGATTGTTGTGAAATCACTGCTTATTTTCATATATTTTACTACGCTTATTATCATATATTATACAATATATAAATAACACATAGCTGAGAGGGTGATAGAGCAGATTGTTACCCCGAAAAAACATTGTCAACTGAGGCGAAGCCAAGGTTGACAATGTCTTTTCGAGGGGTAATAATCTGCTCTATCACCCTCTCAGATATGTGTTATTTAATTTATTATACTGAATGTTCTGTTATTACTGTCGATTAAATTTCAAATTCAAAGTAATAAACTATGACGTCTTGTACATAACAACCATCTGTATTTAATAAAACGCACACTTGATCAAGTGTCTTCGTGAAGGGTAATAGAGTATTTGCTATAGGATAGAGTCGTATTTAATAAAGCGCACACTTGATCAAGCGTCTCCGCGAAGGGTAATAGAGTATTTGCCATAGGATAGAGTCGTATTTAATAAAGCACACACTTGATGAAGCGTCTCCAGGAAGGGTAATAAGAGTAAATTAACACCCTCATATTAGCCAATCAAAATATGGCATTTTGACGTGAAGTATAATAATACTTATTATAGAGCTCTATTTAATTTTTTTTCTTTTTTATTTTACAGGTTTATTGTCGTATTCGACCATTAGATAATCCAGATGATCCTGTATGTTTGAAGGCTATTAATACTAACACATGCATCCTTACTCCACAAGAGGTAATATTTTGCTAGGTGTATTTATTTCATTATTTGTTTTCTTTTTCTGAAATATTGTTGAATGAATATTTTAAAATAGATACATATTTATATAGATTGTACATGACAATTGGTGAAAAACATTTTCATAATTGACTAAAATAGTAATTTCACAACAATAAATGAATAAATTTCCCTGAAAAATGTGTATGTTGTTAGAAAAAAAAATCACGTTTTATTGATAAAGAATAATTGATCAAAGCATTGCTTTAAAGGTCCTAATAGTTTTTGGGAGATGTACAAGTATAAACTGCTGTTTGGTGTGAAGTGACCTGCATTATTTGTTTACTATACAAGTATAAACTGCTGTTTGGTGTGAAGTGACCTGCATTATTTGTTTACTATACAAGTATAAACTGCTGTTTGGTGTGAAGTGACCTGCATTATTTGTTTACTATACAAGTATAAACTGCTGTTTGGTGTGAAGTGACCTGCATTATTTGTTTACTATACAAGTATAAACTGCTGTTTGGTGTGAAGTGACCTGCATTATTTGTTTACTATACAAGTATTCAAACAAAACAGCAGCATGGCAGGATATTTTATGTCAAATTAAGAAAAATATTCCATGCATCACATTTGGGTAATGTTTCAATGAGTTATGCTAAGGACAGAAAAATACTTTAAAAAAAATAATTTAATGCAAAGGGTCTATAATAAATGACATGGTTATAAAGTAAGCTATTTTGGCCTGCAGGTGTTCAATAGATAAAAAGGCGAAAACTTCACAGCAGTTTTTACTAAATATCTGTAAGAAATGAATTTTCTTTAATCATAACTTTTTGCACTTTCAGAATGCAATTGCAAGAAACGGACAAGTTAAAGAGGTATGAATTTTCTTTATATAAAAACATATATTCATTCACATACAGACATTTTAGAATAACTAGAAAAAATCTGTATAGCAATGATACAAAGGAAGGTAAATTCATTATATACATGTATTTGAAGATATTTACAATTCGTTGTTTCACTGTTCATAGAAACGGGCAATAATCACGAGTAAGGCAAAAAAAAAAAATATGTCTGTTAAAGGTTACATACTTTTAAAAAATAGGGTAGGTAGGTCGGTATTTCCAATTTATTTTATTTTTTCATTTTATTTGTGACATGATTTTGAGTCATGCCGTTTTGTCTTGTCGTGGTCCGAGTTGATCATGGGCAGAGTTTACCCGTATTTTTAATGATTGGATTATTTCCCTTGGTAATTGGTTGGAAAAAAATGGCGGCAAAGTGTTTATTTCATCACACCAGTTGCGAATTTTCTGAAAACATCTGTCATATTCACGATTGTGAACATTGGGATGTATCAGGTAATTGATTTATATTATTTGCAACACTAACTTCGCTTTTGACACGAGTTCAGTTTATTTTTCACTTTACGACGGAAATAAAATGACTTAGGGTCGGCGCTCAAAAGTAGGGTCGGTCGGGTAACCGTAAACAGACCTATATTTTTTGATTGGCCTAATGAATAGTCCACTACAACTAGTGATATTTTTACACACAACAAACATAGATGCCAACCTTTAGCATTTTTCCTTAATTGTTATGAATTTTGGACCAAAATTACGGTGTTAACCATTAACATATACAGCTTTTCCTTCATTACTGTTCCCGAACAGTTCCCTGTTTAGATATCGTTTTGATCATTGAGATGCCTCATCTTTGGTTATAATTGTGTAACAAAAAGCGCTTGAGCATTTCGGACTATAACATTCTTTCAGGTTTATCAGGATTATATAAAGTAGAAATCGATCTATCCATTTCCTGTTTGATTCCAAATACTTAATGAATGCAGCAAGTCTTTGTTTTCAATTTTACGGTGTCTGATGGAACAATGAATTTCTGCAGTAAGGAAAGAAAACTCAGGATTACAAAATCTGAAACCGGATCATTATCAATGATTATGCCTTTTGCAAATATTGTGAACAGACTTACATCAGCATGATGGTCAGTGTTCCTAACTTGCTCATCAACTTTGGGTCGTAGTTGTCATAAATAAAGGAAGTCATTTGTCACTGTGTACCTAGTTGTTAGTATGATTTAGTATGATTAAATTTTATGAAAAAATTTATTACTGAGAAGATCACAAATAACGAAAATTTTAATTCTTTTTTACTGATTGCAACAAAAGGGGGTTGGCATCTATGAACAAAGGAAAATGAAAATAGCAACCCAAAATTTGTGTTTCTTTTAAATCTTGGTGATGTTGATTTAAAATTTTGATTTCCCCAGCAAGATACTAATGGACCAGCTGTCACACACAAATGATGATATAATTGATTAATGCACAACTAGTTTTAACATACTTTATTGTTTTAATAATACTTGACAAATAAATCTTACACAAGTTATACAACTAAGTCTTCTCTTTTATGCACAACTGCAAAATTTAAACTTATTCAAAGTGATTTTCTTAAAAATGATCAAAGCAAAAGGCTTGGATAAAATGATAAATTGCCAAAACCAGCTACCTGTAATGGTTTAACTACAAAATCTAAATGCCGAAAATTTATGAAATCCATTCTGGCAGATAGTGTTCTTCAGGCCTTATAGTTATACATGTGAGTATATCTTATATCATAATAATAGTAATAGTATCATTATGACAATTAACTATCGTCAGTTATAAAATTATTATTTTGTTTCAGTTACAATACCAGTTTCAGTATGTCTTTGATGAATATACCTCACAGAAGGCAGTCTATGACTATGTTGCCATGCCTTTGATGGAAGATCTCATTAAAGGGAAAAATGGTAGGGATACTGTGAAATTAAGCGTTTTAGTTTGGGTAGGGGAAAGGGGCTTAAACTGTGTGATACATTTTAACATCTATTACTCATTAACTTCCTCTTTGCCTAACACTAATAGCATTTATTCGGAGCTCAAACATTTTAAGGAAAATATTTGGGTGCATATGCATTTTTATATCGGATGTGACCTCGAGAGGTCATACCGTTGTAATGTTGCTGAAGAAATTTCTTGCGCTTTTGACTGATAGCCGACCGTATTTTCGTATAATTTGTCAAATTTGTCTATTACTGGATGTATGCATCTCATTGAGTGTGATCATATTCTGGTAGTCAGTACAATGCTCATATCTATATCATTCAGTTTTTTAAGGAAAATCTATTAATGCTTTATCATGCTCTTAGTATCTGCTGTTGTTCTGCAGTCTTCCTTTCAGACAATTATAGTGCACAGTTACAAAGTGACAGGAGATGTTTACTACAGTATAGCAATTTTATAATTAAATAGGTTAGTTTTCCTCACATATCTAGTGACCTAGTAAACACTGTAGTCACAGAGAGGCTGCAACAATACAAACTTATTTAGAGTTCTGTCATTCTTGCTTAAAAATGATTTGTAGTCTCAGAATCATAGCTAAAACTCCATTTGAAATTTTACAGGTTTGCTGTTCACCTATGGAATCACATCCTCTGGTAAAACATATACAATGACTGGTACCCCAGATGATCAAGGATTGATGCCAAGATGTCTAGATGTATTGTTTAACAGTATAAGTGGTTTACAGGCTAAGAAATATGTAAGAAAAAAAATACTGAAGATCATTTATAGTTTCCATAATGCAAATGTTTCTTAAACAGCTCTTATGTTAAATTAATACATCTGTCATGTCTATGTAAGAGCAGAGTTATTTTATTAATTATAATGTACAATTGTAGTAGATTCCAAAGCTTCAATATTTTTAGACATGGTTGACTAGTATACTAAGATCCACATGATTTGGTGAATAGTTCTCATTGGAAATTACACCATATCTCCTTATTTTTATATAATCCACTTAAACCATGATCTAGTTGAATTATTGACTAAGTGTATGTAGTTTTTTTCCCAATCTGATTAAAAATACAGATCCTGTGTTTAAGCTTTGCTTACAAGGATCTAAAAACACTCCATTCTACTTTTTTGTTTGAAAGACTTTTTGGGATCCTCTGGTTTTGTAAGATAAATGCACACCTTCACAAATTTAAAGGCTGAAATTTCATTGGCTGATCAATGTAATAATTACCAAAACAGAAAGTAAAACGAAGTGTTTTCAGATCCTTGTAAGCAAAGCTTAAACACAGGATCTGTTTTTTAATTAGATTGAATGATGCTGAGGAGAGGTAATTTTTGATTTGAGAAGCTATTTATAGAAGCAATCAATGATCAGTGCTGTTTCAGTCTCCAAAGGATATTTACCCTTAAAAGTCATTACAAGGGCTGTGTTTTGTCCCTTGTAAGATACCATACATGTATAAGTTTAAATTGCAAAAGCCCTTTTTGCAGATTGGTTGTTAAAACTGGGAACTGACTAAAACAAAACAAAAAACGTCTACTCTTTCAAAAATAATTGCACTGTACCCAAAGACAATTTCTTTTTTGCAGTCAAATTAGGTTTGACAGTTAAATATTTAAACACTCAATTATAATTAGGGTAACAAGTTGGCTGTAAAAATGGTGAGTATGACACTGATTTCAAAATTTGGAGCAAATTTAACATTTATAGCTCTGTTAACAAAATCAGGGGTCTATAGAGATCCTTATATTTGTCTGTCACTCTTGTGGTCTTCAATTGATAATTTATAAACAAAACTTTACTACACCATAAAATTTTCACACAATTTCAAAGACTATAAAATGAATTTTACCAAAATACAGTTATATCCCTATAATGATAAATAAAAGTATCACATGACTATATCATTTTAAATAATTTTCAAAACTGTAATAATTTAAACTTTAAAGGCTCTTTTAGTCCACACTTTTGATTTTTTTTTCTACAATCTCATGGACCAATACAGATTGAGTTTGGTTTCTGCTGATTTGACATTTGCAAATCAACAGCACTTATTTTGGTTGCTGCACATAGCTATGGTCAAGAACATTTGCGATCACAAGATCACCAAGTTCTAGCTGATATTGTTGTTTTGAGTAGTTTTTAGTCTGTTTTGCCTTTTTGGTGGTGTATGGTTTAGTGCTTCAGTGTAATTTTGTTCACCTTGCCAATTATTTTTAATTACCTCACTATGCATTATTCATTGTGTATATCATTTTTAAAATTCTCAGAACCAGGTCAGTATCAAACCATATAACTTATAGTAATAAGTATTACAGTACTAGCTTTGGCCATCTTTGGTTGATGTCAGTACATACACTGATCAGAAATATTTTCAACAATACACCTTGTGATATTAGAGCAAAAAATTGTGGATTAACAATTTCTCAAATTGATGGCTGACAAGGTTTACAGATAAAGTTTGAATCAGAAATCCAAAAATGATTCAAGCAAATCAGGTCCACATTGATGCATGAATAAGGAACCAGTGAGAGTCAATAAAATCCATAGGTGGTGAGGCAGAAGGTTGAATCTCTTATGGATTTTACGAACCCTCTATGGATTTGTAGGGGGTAAGTAGCGAACGGTATGTACATGTGATGCAATAACAATAATAGTAGGCAGGATGTCATAATACACTTATGAAATCTACTGACCCCCTACAGATCCATAGGAGGTCACAATGTGACAAAGTTTAGCCAATCATTACATCACTAATTTATCAAAGGTGCACTAAAATGTAATAAGGAAAAAAAAATTATAAAATTTTTTAAATAATTTATTTGACATTGTTTAGATGGTCTCTTTTCATATTTTCAACTAATGACCTTAGCTGACATTCAGGATCCATCAAAGAACACCAAATTTGTTAATATGTGAACATATATAAATAAATACTGCTTTAAGGGTACCAGAAAATAGCTGAAATTGACACCCCATGCACAATAACACTTCCAATGCTGATTTGGCTTAAATAATGAAGCTTATCTGAATATTACCATGGTCACCATTATCATGAATGACACAAAGTTTGATATTTTTCTCTACAACACTGTTATATATACAATGTATATTTATATTTATAAAAGATGTTCATATTTGAATTTTTGACTGTGATTAAGATTGAACCTTGGTGCAGAATATTTTAAGATAAATAAATTATGCTTTTTCCAGGTTTTCAAACCAGACAGGATGAATGGTTTTGAAATACAGACAGATGCTGATGCCATGATGGAGAGACAAAGAAGGGAGATACTTCCAGGGTTGACAACTCCCAAAACTCCAGGGAGGGGCAGGTATGGATATCATAGACATTGAAATACCAGATTTGTGGAGTTACAAAAAAATGTAATCCATCTGTGTATGTAGATGTTTCTTCATATAGAAGCTTTTTTATAGGCGTTTAATTTTTCCTAAAATTTTGCATCTTGAAAACTTGACTTTTTGTTACAGACCATGTTTTCTCAAATCTTACATACATTGTTTAGTAGAAATATCTTGATTTAACTGCTCAAAACTTTTAAATTAGAAAACCTCTTTTACATTTGAAGTATTTTTCTTCTTCAGGAACCATGGAGAATTTGGAGAGCATGGACGGATGAGTGATCCAACTCGTGTAGAGGATATTGATGAGGGAAATATCTATGCTGTTTTTGTGTCTTACATAGAAATCTATAACAACTATGTTTACGATCTGTTGGAGGAACTACCACATGACCCTATAACAGGATACAAGTATTTGTTCTATTCTCATGTCATATGTGTATCAACTGCATTTATTCCATATTGTTTATTATTTGATTTTAACAAGTATAAACCAGTACATAGAGTAGGAAAGTTTATTATCTTTCAAGGAACTGTAGAAATTATATTTAATTAAAATAAATACTTTACAGAGTTCTTCCAATTCGTTGGTAATTAAAAATTTGATGACTCAAAGCTTCAATTTCATGCATTGCATGAATTATTAATGTCGCATGAAAGACAGAATGAAAAACAAATTATTGTGTAGGTTTTATTGATTGATTGGTCCTAACTCACAACTTATTTTTTAGAAGCTACACTCTTTCAACATAATGTTATAATTCTTTGCAAAGTTAACATGATTGAAATAAAAACCATATGCTTAGTTCATCATTGTAAATTTAAAGTCGATTATTAAACCAGACATTTAAAATGCGTCTGTTTACATTATTGAAGAAACTTTTACACAGAAAATTTCGTTGAAGTTTATACCTTTTTGTCGTAATCAATAAAGATTTTTATTTCAGACCACCCCAATCAAAGATTTTACGTACTGATTCTAATGATAACATGTATGTAATGAACTGTGTAGAAGTAGAGATTAAAAGTCCACAAGAAGCTTTTGAAGTTCTGTATAAAGGTAATGACAAAAGAAACATTTGTCTTTGTTGATATAATTGTAACAGGGTTCTTGGACGGAATAAAGTAATTCGTCAAATTTAGAGATGTTTGTTTAAGAAGACATAAACAAATAACCCTGAAAGTACACAAATAACAAAACATAAATACATAGTCAATACGGTGTACAAAGGGATATAACTCTTAATTTATTTAAGGAAAGTACATGTATGAAATACCATAAACTGGCTCTGTTCTATCAGAACACAACCAATTCTATTAAAGTGTATATATTTGAAATGTATAAATCCAATTAAACTCAATCATATACCAAGTCAGGATTAATTGCTACATTCTGTCTAATACTATAACGCTAATCACTCATCGATTTATGAATGAAATAAATCTATAATGTTTAAATGTAATTATCAACATACAGGTAACTACTATTAACCCTTTCAACGCTATACATGGCATATGCCGCGATGACGTACGCCACCCGCCACTGCTGTTCGCGGCATATGTCGCGATGACGATGGATTTTTCATAGAGACTCGTAACCATTCGGTTTTCATTCAGGTCCACTCTAATTTTTGCTCGTATGAATCGAGTATATACAAGGTCCCGTTTGCGCTTGAAACCGCTGGAATTTTAATGGTAAAAGCATGCAGTAGAAGAAAAAAAAAAAAATATTATGACAATTTATGCAAATGGTGGAAATCGAAAAAGACGCTGTAAATATGGAAATATTTCAGCATTTCTATGGCAAAACTGACGAGGAATTGTTAAAAGGTTTCCCATTATCTCAATGTGTTAATTACATTCAATTCGTGTGGGAAATATGATTCAGTCGATCTTTACGAGTCGTAGAAAAAGGGGGGGGGGGGGGGGCGGAGGTTGACTGAAAATTTTGAGGACGGAGCCACTTATTTGCGCCACGTTTACATTATACGTTGTGTATGGTGCAAATACGCTACGGAATCGAGCAACTGGTGTCTTCTTTATTATATGGCAGATAAAACAACAAAATAAATAAAAATTAAAAGTTGTTTTTATTCAAAATTCAACACAAATACAATAATTTACACCTTTTACCTGTTAATTACCTGAAAATGCAGGTAGCTTGATGAAAATTTTACTAAAATAATTAAATAACATTACAGTTCATGCTCTCCTGAGCATTTTTCATGCACTAACTTTGTCTGTATCTCTAATAATAAAAAAGATACAGCAGTCTGAAAAGGAATATACTGTTCTAATGAATGAACACAAAAAAAAATGCAGCAGCAGCAGCCATTTTTCTATTTTTTTGTGTAGCGTTGAAAGGGTTAACAAGACACAAACAGTACATATACTGAACAAAAATTAAAATAGACAAACACAGACAAAACAGTAAGCTAAAAATACATAGGAAAATTTAAAAAGTGAATGAAAGGGAATATTTGAATTACATTAATTAAACTACTAGTAACCAAAGCTTTTTACCTCTCAATTACAATATTTGTTCACATTAGTAATCTTGTTACCGACTATCGAATGGGAGACAATTTAAATTAAATGTATTTCCTATTTTATTGTAAACTCTCTTTTTTTGTTGTTGACTGAGTCCAGCAAAGAGAATATTAGCTTTTCAGATGTTAGCTAAAAATGTGTTTTTAAATTCAATGTGGTTATCAATTAGTTCCATATGTTGAGAGGAAAATAGTATATTATACTTTATGGTGTAAAAATTCTATAAATACATGTAAAATTTTAGTAAACGTATAGAGTTTTAAAACTAGAAGATAATGTCGTTTATCTTAAATAATTATTAGTTGAATATCAAGAACTAAAATATTTGAACTTTCCCATTCAATTGATACAAGTGTGAAATATTGTCCTTTGTTGCAGGTCAGAAAAGACGTAAAGTAGCCCACACAGCATTAAATGCTGAATCAAGTAGAAGCCATAGTATATTTAATATTAGGCTAGTCCAGGCTCCTTTAGATGCCAATACAGATATGATAGCACAAGTTCAGGTATCTTTGTCATATATAAAGTCAGTGTTTCATTGGGGGTTTTTCACGTTTTAAAGTTTTGATTAAAGGTAGTTTACCATACATTTATAGCCACATGAACTTAAAATGAGTACACATGTTCACTGTGGTGTGAACTTTTTTTAAATATATGCAAAATTAGGGTTTTTATGCAGATTTCACAGTTCACAGAACATAGAAATATAACTGTGAGTTGGGCAATGTGTCATATGGTCAATTATTCTTGTTTTAATTCAAATATTAGGAGACTCATAATAAAAATTTCAAATTTAAAAGACCACTATGAGTTTATCACATTGCATTCCAAAATGATAGCCAGGCATTTAAAAATGACCAGAAAGGAGGTCTAGGAATTATTGATAAATTTGGTGGTTCATTTGACAAATATTTTGATAAAGTAACAATAGTCAATGCTTGTGATGTTATTTTTCACCATAACCTATCAACATAAAAAGTAATAAAGAACTTTTTGATAGACCTTAGATATTAAAGATTATAGCAGTTAATTATTTGCTTGCTTCTTTCTTGAAGTTTTTCCAGTTTGCGTAACGCTCTTTGTTATCATTTGCACTAAAATTTGTAAAATTATGAAAAAGAATTAAATTGACATCAAATTTCATACCTTTCCTTTGTCATTACAGGATCAAGAAAAAAACATATGTATTAGTCAGTTGTCACTTGTAGACTTAGCTGGAAGTGAAAGATCTCACAGAACTAAGAACACAGGAGACAGAATGAAGGAAGCTGGTAATAAAAGATGACTTCTAGAAATAACATTACAGTCATGCTCACATTTATCAAACAGGAATACTAGATTAAATGTTTGGTTGTTGTGGGGTAACACCCTTTTCAGGATTAAATGATTGGTTGTTGTGGGGTAACACCCCTTTCAGGATTAAATGATTGGTTGTTGTGGGGTAACACCCCTTTCAGGATTAAATGATTGATTGTTGTGGGGTAACACCCCTTTCAGCATTCTTGGCTATATCATGGCTTCCAGTTTTATTAATGGAGAAAGCTAGATACTATTGTATTCTGGCAAAAATTAAGTCTTCATTGAAGCAGCAACTAATTACAAGCATATTCATATTTCCAGTTATAAATTTGAGTGTTCTTTTTTTTTTGTAACTGCTCCAGGATACCAAAATTGTTCTTTTGATATCATTGTTAACACATACCAAGAAAAATGTTTGACATCTTTATTATCAATAGAAATGTATAAGATATGGACTGTTGTAAATAAATGATAAGAGATAACCCATAGAATACAAGATAAGTTACTCTCTTTTCCTTTATTTAATCTTTGTTTAAAACTTTCATAATTACATGACAAAATATTTTTTCAGGAAATATTAACCAGTCACTTATGGTACTAAGGAATTGTATAGAATTGTTACGAGAAAATCAGAAAACTGGCCTTGGCAAAGTAAGTGTCAAACATCAAGTTTTAAAGCTTTTGCATTGCTTTTAATGATTTGAAAGAACAGTTTATATGGTTTTGGATTGACACAATTTGAGCTCGAGTTATCTCCCTTTTGTTTGCCATGTTTGAGTTATGAAAAAGTTATTTACTCAGTTTTAATTTTTTGTAAGCCTTGCATAATTCTTCACTATGATCTAGTAAGGGTTTCTCCTCAGACTTTTACTATATGTTTCAATTTGTTTAGTCAAATAAGGAAATCAACCAGTTGCACTTCCAACATGGCAGCCGAGGGAAATAACTCAAACTCAAATTATGTCATATCAAAACCTAGCTATACAACTCAATTTTCAATAAAATATAATGCCATTTTGGTTAGTACAATAAGGAATAAAGTAGCTATGTATAGATAATTATTGCTTTTTGTTGTGTTTTTCCTTTGATCTTTTTGTGTGATAATTTTTCATATCATACTACTTGCTTGAGATAGAAAAATTATCTCTAATATATCTAAGGCCTGTTAGCTATGCAATCAGATGCCTTTTTTTGTCTGTAATCCTAACATATCTCTGTTTGTTATTATTGCATAACTGAATACTTATAGAATTATGAAATACAGAAATTTCAAATAAGATTTTTTTTTTCAGCTTGTCCCATATCGAGATTCCAAGTTGACCCACTTATTTAAGAACTATTTTGATGGTGATGGTAAAGTAAGAATGGTTGTATGTGTCAATCCTAAAGCTATCGAGTATGATGAAACCATTGTAAGTAAAACATATAATACTTTGATAGAAAATAGACTTGGACATGATCTGTCATACTGCACATTTATTAGTTTGGATTTTGGTGTATTTAGGGTAATTCAAGGTATATTGGTGGGTTATGAGGATAAGTGCCCTTCACCCTGCACACCACCTCTGCCACCTCTAGTTGGAATGATATACAAAGTTAGATAATTAGCTAGGGAATTTTATTATTTGAGTTGTTGATCCTCCCTACAAAGAATTTAAAAAATGTTTTGAGAGCCATGCTAAGCAAATATTTTTCCCATGAAAGCTTTAAAATGTGATAGCACTGCTTTTAGTTCACTGCAACAAAATTTATTGAATACCTTCAATGTCCCATGTCCATATACACCTCTTTGGTCGGCTGTATAATACATTTCTGACCTATAGTTTTACTACAATTCGTCTATTTCTGAAAGTGTTTGATGATACATCATATTTCTCACAAACATCTACACAGTACAACACAGTTCATAAATGTTTGGGTTACCATAACATAAGTTGTGTACCACTGACCTTTATATAGAATATTGCATTTAGATCCAGAGCTCAGAAAAAATTATTGGTATCCATGCATCCAAGCATCCATGTAATATGTCAAACTTTTTATGTCTAATAAGTTGTGAATGAATTAAAGCAGAGTTAACCAAGATCTGGCTTTAACAACAATTTCTAATTGGTACATTTAAAACAATGAAATCTCTGAAAAGGTTAGGTCAGACACTACCTTGCAAACAATTTGGTCAGACAGAGTAATAAATAAGATTCAACAAATGGGAAGAAAATAATTTGTTTATTTCATTACTTATTTCAGCATGTGATGAAGTTTGCTGAGATGACCCAGGAAGTCTTGGTTACCAAGTCACAACAGGTTAAGTTTGAAATATTAGAAACTCCAATGATAAAGAAACCTCCTGTTATAGGTAAGTCTTTAATTTATCACTCTTAAAAAAGGTGCTAACATACTGTGAATTTATTTTTGTGGGTACCAATTTGCAGGAATAGAGGAATTTGTAATTTTCTATGCTACTTTAATTGAGGTTTTAGCAAATTAAATTTAACTCTTTAATTTCTTGTTCACCTATACCAATGAAATTCATAAAAGTTATGATAAATGGTTTGGTGTCTTATTTATCTAATTACCATCATTGTGGGTGTGGAACAAAAGCCTCACGGAGATAAGACCCTGTCCTAGGCGGCCTTTATCCAGGGGGCTTGTATCCTGCTCCCCTTCCATTATATATATAAAATTAAGACTATATAAAATAATATAAAAAGAACATGTTTATCTACTTTGTAAAAAAATGTTGAGACTCAACCTAAGCCTTTAAAAACGTTTCTTGTCCCTAAGAAATTTTAATATGCATACAATATGCATTTATCTGGACAAATAAAAAAATATGATATGCATTCAAAATATATTATTAAAAAAAGAACTTTGAAATAGATATATATATGAATATGGAAAAAGTTATCAATTCCTATAAAAAAGAGATTAGAGATGATGAAAAACATCATTATACATTTGTAATTCAAAACTTTTTATAATAAGGAAATAAATATTTTTTTTGTATTTAAAAAGAGGTCAGGGAAGGTCTTTTCTGATTGAGACAAATAAGTTTTAGGTTACACATAGCCATGATTGAGTTAGCTAGAGATATTTTCCAACACTGAATTATTTACTGTAAATATGGATATTTTCAGGTTTGTTTTTCTTTGGTTTGTTTTATTGTTTTGTTATTTCAATGCGTAAACATTTCATGCATGCTTAAATTTGCTCTTGTGAACAATAAGTTAGAAATTCACACCAATCCTATAATGTTATTGTTTTCTGAATTATTTTCCGAGTGAGTGATATTTTTTCACACCTTTCATGTGATTGCCAAAATAACCCCCTTTCAAAATTTCCACATATACAGTATATGTTGTCAAAGTAAATTTAAGGTTTTGTATATATTTAGATTGATTGATTGAATGATTCTTCCTTGCTTTATGTCCACTGGCATATATATCATGTATATTCAGGGGGAAAACAAATTAACAATTGATAGGATAGGTAGGTTCTGTAAGGGAGACCTACTTGGATGAAGGTAGTGGAAGTTTGTTTTAAGAAATGGGGGAGGGGGATATTGAATTATATGAATATATAGTGAGATATATTAAACACAAAGGAACAATTATACTGAAAATAAGAATAAAAGTTGCATGGTCACAGCAATTTCCTGTACAACACAAGATACTTTTAATGGCCTTTTAAAAGGAGACGTATTAATGAAAATCTGATTAACAAAAATTGAAAAAAATATTCTTAATAATGGAAAACCTATATCTTTAGATTTTATAAGTTTTTTGTAACCATATATTGTAGTGCTTATGTCTTCTTTTTTTGTAGAAGATTATATACCTATGATGACTTACAGTATGGGACCAAGCTTTCCATCTATAGAGGTAAGAGGTTACTCTCAATATACAAATGACAAACATATCTTATGTATCTTCAAAAGTCTTATAGATATAAGAAGATGTGGTATGAGTGCCAATGAGACAACTCTCCATCCAAGTCAAAATTTATAAAAGTAAACCATTATAGGTCAAAGTACTGTCTTCAACACAGATCCTTGGTTCACACCGAACAGCAAGCTATAAAGGGCCCCAAAAATTACTAGTGTAAAACCATTCAAATGGGAAAACCAAAGGCCTAATCTATATAAAAAAACAGTCTAATCTATATATGTAAAGAAACATTATTGTTTTACTATTTGAATGGTTTTGAAAGTTGGTGATGTTTAAAGATTTTATACTGTAATTGTATCCCCATAGTAATTTATATATTATTTCATTTTCTTAAGAACTGTCGATTTCGTTGTACTTTTTTGGCATCTTAATATATGTGTATTGCACTGTTTTCAAAATGACTGATTGACACTTCGAGAAGATTGATGCAGATTTTGCAATAATTGTGTAGCGAGAAGTTATTTTTATGCACCTGAATCGTTAATTGTTGATATATGACATGCTTAATCAATTAGTATGAAGGTGCAAATTTTCAGTTGGAAGTCTCAAGTGAAGGTCCAGTAAAAGGCCAGAAAAGTCTCCAGAGTGAAAATAAACAAGTTAATTCCTATAAATCACCATCATTTATATTATAATATACGATATCAATACACTAGATACATCATTTATATTATAATATATACAATATCAATACACTGTATATAAACTATATATGATATATCGTGAAGAAGTATTTTCGCAATGTCTGCCATTTTTATGTTTACATCATTTGCGTAAAGGATCCTATTCTTTCAGTGTCTGAAAGGAAAGAAAAAAACTGAAGTAAAATTGTTTTTGCTTATTAAATGAGTTTTCTGGAGAGGGAGAAACCCATTAAAAACTATCCCTTTTGTATGTGAAAACATATTTAGATACTTCATTTGAACTTTGGGGATAGTTGTCTCATTTGGCAATCATACCACTTCTCCTTACTTTTATATTAGACATATTTTATACTGTAAGTGGCCTTCTTTTTACCTTATAATCAAACCTTGACTAAAGTTATCCTGATTAGGTGTGTTCTGCTGAATTTTTTCTCATCTAGTTATTATTGATTTTCTGTGTGCAACATATGTTTAAATATTGACTGGTAAACAGATATGTTCAAATTGATGATTTATCAGTATTTGTTTCAGGTATTACACTGTAGAGATGAGTATACTTTAGATCAACTGTCAGACTACTTGGATGAGAGAAACAGACTTAAAGAAAATCTAATGATAGATTTTAGTAGGAAACGTATGTAGTGGTTTATGATCAAACTGAAAAAGTACAAAATGTACTCATTATCCAGTATGTAGTGAAAAGTCATCAAAGAAAAAGATTGAAGAACTGCTGTTACAAAATAGAAACTTTATACTGGGTGAAAAAAATTAAACCCTTACATAGATATAAGAAGATGTGGTATGAGTGCTAATGAGACAACTCTCCATTCAAGTCACAATTTGTAAAAGTAAACCATTATAGGTCAAAGTACGGCCTTCAACACGGAGCCTTGGCTCACACCGAACAGCAAGCTATAAAGGGCCCCAAAAATGACTAGTGTAAAACCATTCAAACAGGAAAACCATCGATCTAATCTATATAAAAAACGAGAAACACTTATGAACCACATCAACAAACAACAACCACTGAACATCAGATTCCTGACTTAGAACAGGTGCAAACAAATGCAGCGGGTTTAAACGTTTTAATAGGCGCAAATCTTCACCCTTACCTGAAACAATAGTGTTACCTCATAACATAGAAAGACACACTATAAAATATCAATTGCAATGGCTTAACTCAATCAAAAGACATATTTTTAAAACAAAAACAAGTGAACATACACTGAACGACATGTACATTTTCAACTTAAATTTTATTTATGTTTTTCTATTTCGAAATGGTCTTTCTTTGACACTTTTTAAAATACAACCACATCACACTGAAGTGGACATATGCAGTGAAGCATGTTTCATTTCATAGTGTTATACTCATATAGATATTCATTTCTATTTCTCCTTATTTTAAGGAGTAAGAATTATAAGGCCATGCATGGCCATAGTAAATATTTAAAAGGTCTAGGTTTTATGATTTAATGTAGCTCATTACAATTTATTTTTTTACAGAGGATCAGTTCAGAGCTCAGCTTGTTAAAATTGAGAAAGAATATAATGAGATGAAAGCTAAAAGTCATGACTCGCAATCAGTACTAGAAAAACGTGAATCATATATACAAAAACTGGAGTCTAGACTTAGGTCATTAGAGAAACGTCAGGATGAGACTAACAGACAGTATAAGGAATGTGAAAGAGAAAGGAGAGAATTAGAATCAAAGGTTGGCTTTCATTCTTACAAATATTCTTTCTTGATAAAATTAAATTATATCTTCATTTGAGTAAATGTTATTTTGAAAATTGCTATAGGAGAAATACCACCATTGTTTTTTTCTTATTACTCTTTGTTAAATTGGCATTTTAAAAAAAAAATGTGCAGAATGTATCTTTGTTACAAATAAAGAAATACTTGGCATGAGTAAAGTTTTATCCAGTCCAGTACTACAGTCAAAATTTCACATATCATTTAAGATAATCACCATCACTAGAAGTTTAATAACCAATCAAATTGGCGCCCCTTTTTATCCTGTTTACAAGCTTTAGTAACCATGTCAATTCAAGTTTCCAAAATACTTTATAGAAACACCAAATGAAAAAAGAATGGTGCTTTGAATCACCCAATGTATAATATTTACCAACTTTTTGCTTTTTTGCATATATTTATGACTTAGTAATTTTTTTTCTGCAATGAAATACAGGGTTAATTTCCTACAACTGTCAAATTCAAGGGAATATTTTTTTTCAACCCTTTTTCGTATGAAACTGGATAAGACATAGCATGTTTTGGTGTTATTACACCTAAAAATAGAGAAATTATGACATGGACAGAAATCCTCAACATGATGAGCTCTACCTATTGTCCATTTACGTCATAACTGTCTGACAAATTCTTACAGGAGTTATTTCCCTTAAATGACCAATTTTACCTTATTTCTTTTTCATTTATGACTATTATCTTGAAAGCTATAATAGATAGAGAGAAAATTTTATTAACAAAAATGACCAGTAAGACAAGATCTACATATTACTTACACATGGCTTAAATAGTCAGACCACTCGCTATTAGAGTTATTGCCCTTTAATGTATAATATTTACCAACTTTTTGCTTTTTTGCCTAATATTTAAAAATAACTACAGTAGATCGATAGAAACTTTTAAAAGAAAAATGATCAGAAATAGGAGATCAAAGAAAAAGAAATTTTTGTCATGAATTCTATTCTAGTCTACAATGTTGGAGAGTGTTCATTGTTGAAGATGCACAAGCCCTAAGTGAGCGACACATGCCCTTAAGACCCTGTAGTTGTTAATAGTCATGATGCAAAATTGATTGAATGACTTTCAATTTGTTTTTTGTTTTTAGCTTCAAGATAAGAATATGAAGATCAGACAGGAAAAATCAGAGAAGGATCGACTTAGATCTGACTTCAGGAATCGCCTTGAACATAATAACCAACAGTGGGAGAAAAATCTAGTAGGTTCTCATAAGTAGATATATGTAAATTAAATTTATGATTGTCAAAAAATACAGTGAACTCATATCATCTGGAAATTCACAGGACAGTGGTAAAACTTTGAATCAACTGAATTTAAACTCAGGGGAGTCATACAAGGCCGATTACCTGTATGTATTGTCCATATTTTATATGTTGTTTGTGGTTAATATATGCATTACAATTAGCAGATAAAAATCTTTGGTTTACCATACGATACTGAATTTATTTTTTTTTCAAAAGTGATCTAAAATTTTGGCGATCAGGGTTAAAGGATGCTTGTATTATTGAAATCAACATGGTGTTTTAAAAGCGCTTTATCGACTATAGCTCATCATCCGGTGTAGGGAATATCTTCAGTTGGAGCAGACGGTCTTTATAAGGACAGGATTCAAGAAAATTCAAGAAAATACTAGCTTGATCAAAACATTTGAAAATAATGTAAACTACATGTCCATGCTTACAAGACTTTTTTGAATTTTATCAAAATTTCTTCCAAAATTCCTCATGCTTGTTTTATAAACTAAATTTTGTTTCTCATAAATTGGTGTATGTGGAATCAAAATAGCTTTTTTTCATGGATCCAAATATAAATCTTGTGTTCTTCTAATTCTTCTTTTAAGTCGATACATGCTACTGAATCTACCTGATTTATAAATATTTTTTTTTTGTCAACAGCAAAAAGAAAGGAACAAAATAGAAAACGAACTTGAAGGACAGATAAATGAGAAACAACATAAATTGAATATGTTGAAACACATAGTTAACACTGAAACAGATAGTGATACTCCGACTGCACGATTCCGTACCCCTGCACCAAAGACAAGGACATACACAACTCCTGGTAAAATCATGTCTGCCAGGTCAGAGACTGATATGACTTCTGTTGGAAAGAATCCAGTACCAACACCAAGGTCAAGGACCCAGACTGCAACAGTATCATCTGCTAGGTCCATGCATGGACTGAACAAAGTGGGCACACCTAAAAATGTAAGTCATTAAAGATGTAAACTTAGTCTAAACTCACCGACCAAAAATTATTTATTCCTTTTAGTTAATAAAGTGCTTCCATCTGACTTGTTCATTTGGCATATATAATAATTCTGACTTTATTAAATAGATAAGACTCTTTTTTTTGGGGGGGGTTACATCATCATGACCATTTTGATTTGTTGTTTGTGTTCATTTAGCCATCCATGTCAACAACAAAATCAATAGAAACTCGTAACATGCCAATGAAAGGTGAACAATTGTATGATATATTTTTCAGCATGTTATTTAGATTTGTCTAACTCTTCTGGTTGTAAGTTCAAAGTTGAAATGCTCAATAAATGTCACAACACTTTCTTTACTCAAAAATATAATAAAGTAATTAATTGACTTGTCCAATGCAACTTCAATGTAGGTAAATTTTGTACATTTTCCAATTAGAATCCAATATTTTATGGTATCACATGGCTGTCATTAGTTGAAGCATGAGTAGACCCTATATTTTACTTCTCGTTTATTAAACTATCAGTGACAATTTTGACTAAAGTAAAATATGGTTGATTGACAGATTGTTGTATACTTAATGTCCAGTGGCAACTATTTCTCTAACATAATACAAGCTATCATAAATCACTTTTTAAATATCTTTGACATAGATTAATAATCTAGAATATATTTGACATGATCTTGTGATTAAAATAATTTTGTCTTTAATTACAGACCCCACAGTATAATCCTCGCCATAGAAGGTCAAGGTCATCTAATGCTGAGATATGGCTAGATCACAGACCACCAGGATCAGTAGAACTTGGTATGTAATACAATGTAAAGTAACAGATTATAATATCAGACATAGATATGTTACCAGTAATGGTGCAAAGCTGGTATGATAGCTATAGTAAAAATGTAAAGTAACAGATTATAATATCAGACATAGATATGTTACCAGTAATGGTGCAAAGCTGGTATGATAGCTATAGTAAAAGATATGTCAAACTACAAAATCTATATTTAAAGAGAGGATATATTCTATATACCTTACTATATACAGTTTATCATATACATAATGATTTAGTGTCAAACCAGAAAATTCTATAACCATCTCTTTCATAGACAACTTAGGCTTACTTGCATTAATGACTACATTTTGTCAAAATTTTTCTAAAAAGAACAATATTGTCATTGAATATAATCACTTTGACATGAAACTTCAAAGGGACATTTTTAGGTGAAACTTTATAGAGACATGTACTGTTTATCTTGAGAAATGCATGACATGAAAATTTTTACATTATACTTTAATGGTCAAGAGAAGTAATTTGGTGTCATTTCATCAGAAGACCAGATTCAAGTTTTCATTAATGAAAAACCAAAATTCAAAGTGGCAAGTTATCGAAACAGAAACATGTGGCACTATTTATTGGACTGAAGAATTTTCATCCCATGTACTTATAGTGAAAAATTGTTGTTATATGTTGTTGAGCTGAAGTTTTGATCTAATCAAAATTGTTTCTATGATTTATTCATGTTAATTACATGCCACTGTAATACCAAGATTGGATGGCCAAGATTTTATATTTTTATGAAGAAACACAAAGTTGAAAAGTAAAACAATAAAGGGACATTTATAATGAATTTGATAGTGTAACTTGAGCATACACACTGTGTGTTATATTTAGTTTTTAGAGGACATGATTGTGAGTATTGTTTGAAATTTTGTATGCTGTGTTTGTTAATAATTATTCAGAAAATGTCAAGAGTTGTTTAAAGTTTGTTTGTTCTGTTCCAATTCACTTATCTGTGTAAGAGTTATCTCCCATTTTGTTAGGTTCCTATATATAGTTTTGTAGCAAACTTTACATTTTACATTTTATTGAAAGCTTTATTGAATTTAAAAAAAAAAATTGGTATATGTTCAGAATTTTTCTATGATATATCAGTATCTATTTTAATAATTGTATTCATTGAAACAAAATATATTAATTGCACTATTTTCCCATTGGAATTTATATGGCATGTCCCAGCACCTTAGGAAAAGCTTGCAGAAAAAAACAAATAAAAAATAATAAAAGACAGAATATAGAGATATATAATCAGAACAAATACTGTTAATTCAAAAGTTAATGGATGCAATTGTTTATGCAATTTTTTGTTTGCCTACTTTGAATATGAAGTATATTAATTTGACTTAAACATGGCTTTCATTGAAACATGCATTATTACAAAAAAAATGTGTAAACTCAGTCTCATTTTTAGCTCAACGGGGCCCAAAGGGCCCCATGTGAGCTTATGCCATCACTTGGCGTCCGTCGTCGTCCGTCTTCGGTCGTCGTAAACTATTTCAAAAATCTTCTCCTCTGAAACTACTAAGGCAAATAACTTCAAACTTGAACTAAATGTTCCTTAGGGTATCTAGTTTATAAATTGTTTCCGAAGTTTTGATCCATTGACAAACATGGCCGCCATGGCTAAAAATAGAACATAGGGGTCAAATGCAGTTTTTTGCTTATATCTCAAAAACTAAAGCTTTTAGAGCAAATCTGACATGGGGGTGAATTTGTTTAATTGGTCAAGATCTATCAGGCTTTAAATTTTCAGACGAATCGAACAACTCATTGTTGGGTTGCTGCCACTAAATTGGTAGTTTTAAGGAAATTTTGCAGTTTTTTGTTATTATCTTGAATATTATTATAGATAGATATAAACTGTAAACAGCAATAATGTTCAGCAAAGTAAGATCTACAAAAAAGATTTTATGACCAAAATTGTCAATTGACCCCTTAAGGAGTTATTGCCCTTTAAAGACAATTTTACACAATTTGTTCATCAAGTTTGCTAACATTTAAAAATCTTCGCCTCTGAAACTACTAGGCCAAATACCTTCAAACTTCATCTAAATGTTCCTTAGGATATCTAGTTTATAAATTGTATCCAAAGTTTTAATCCATCGACAAACATGGCCGCCATGGCTAAAAATAGAACATAGGGGTCAAATGCAGTTTTTTGCTTATATCTCCAAATCTAAAGCTTTTAGAGCAGGGGTAAAATTGTTCAATTGGTCAAGATCTATCAGCCCTGAAATTTTCAGACAAATCGAACAACCCATTGTTGGGTTGCTGACACTAAATTGGTTGTTTTAAGGAAATTTTGCAGTTTTTGGTTATTATCTTGAATATTATTGAAGATAAAAAGAAACTGTAAACAGCAAAAATGTTCAGCAAAGTAAGATCTACAAAAAAAATTTATATGATCAAAATTGTCAATTGACCCCTTAAGGAGTTATTGCCCTTTAAGGACAATTTTACACAAGTTGTTTTATGTTTTTTAACTTTAAAAATCTTCTCAAATGAATTTTGTATTTCATTTCCTTGTACGTCAAGAATCATAGACACTATGGCTAAAATGGAACATATCGGTAAAAAGCAAAAATAATCATTGATGAAAGATTAAAGCAAAAAAAATTACAGGTGAGCGATTCAGGCTCTTGAGAGCCTCTTGTTGTGTTACCTGAAATGAAAGTCATGAAAGTGAGATTTGAGATTATTGTTTCTGGTAGTTAACTATTGTTTAAGTTTGTAAATAGGTTACACAGGAGAGACATATTTCTGTTTTAACAGGTCTTAGTAAAAACTTGGCATTTACGTCTGAATTTACAATATTGTGTTTAAAAGTATCTCCTGAAATTTACATACATGAATAATGGAAAGATATTCACGTTAATGGACTTTAGTTTTTCAGTAGATCCTTCTTTTACAGTCCCTGTAAGAGAAGTCTTCCCTTTACAGTGCCTTATAAAGAAGGTTACTCATCTTATATCTCACATTGTGAACAAACCAATAATTCAATATCATTCTATAGGTCACATTTTCTCAGCTGAGTATATGGTATGTAAAACATGATAAAACCATAAGATCAAGTATATAAAAAAATATGTTAAGTTGATACTCACAAACTAGTCTACCCTTTTATGAATGATAAATGTTATTATGAATTTGAAATTTAATAGATAAATACCTTTCTACAGGCACAGTTTTACAACCAAGACTTAAGAAGAAGAAATCTGTTTCCAAGCTAGAGGTAAAGGATACTAAGGAGGCTACAAAATATATCCTCACTCATCAAGATATAGATTCAGCTGGAGAATTAGAAACAAAACTTATCAAGGTAAATATTAATCTTTAAATCAGCCTTAAAAAAAATTAAAGGTGCAGTTTCCAATAAGATCTTAAGTTACTGGTATATGGCTGGAGAGTAAGGTTAAAACAATGGTCACTGCTTATCCCCTCTCTAATTTTCTAAATACTGGTAAATGGTTGGCTTTTAATATTTTAAAAGTGTATATATCAAAAATAGAAACTGTTTTTGTCCAATTTGACATGTCTGGTTTTACTTCAGTATTAAAATGTACAATGTAAAGTGAGACAATTCTTTGCATTCACTACATTTAGAATTTTGGGGATTTTGAATGACATAATACTAAACTTGAGCATACATTGTTGCTTTCTATGGCTTAACAATGTCTTTAATGGTGCAAAAACAATAAATCATGGTGATACTAGTTTTTATCATCTTTCATTCCAAACTATGTAATGATGTATTTTTCACTGTTTTTTATAAATCCATTTTATTCAAATTGGTTATGATGGTTGTTGATAATATTACGAACATATATTTTTAGGGAAACATGTTACCAACAGCTGGTGGAGGAACTGCCGTGGTCTTTAATGATGTTGAGACCCTAAAGCAGATATCACCAGGTAGTAGAAAGAGACGTAGTTCTTGTCCACAGCCTGCTGACTATGATGGAGACTGGACGGATGTGGAAGATAGATGTGGAATTGCCATTGAAGGTCATTCAAGGAAGTAAGTGTTATATCAGTAAATGAAGGAAAATCATGGGTATTGAAAAAAGTGCTCTTAAAATTACTACATATAGTAATAATCTTTTATGGTGTGATGTCTGTTTTAAATGGCTATGTGATGGCAAAATTTGTATTCTGTGTTGGAGTAGAATTTGAATACTCTTGTTTGGAAAATAAGATTTTTAATCAAATTGAAAAAATATTGTTAATACAGATAAAATTCAGCTTCATAGGCGGACACGACACTACCATGACTACAACATGGCTTAATTCTTACCTTATTTGTAAAATTGTAACATCTAGGGTTTAAAATGGGAAACAAAAAGAAAAAAAATGTAATGCTCAAATTCTCCCTTTTGGCTGTAATAGGGAAAGTTTTTATATAAAGAAACATACAGGCAAAACTGAAGGTTGTTGTTCATCAAAAACACTAAGAATTGGTCTAAAACACTTCCTCTTCTTCTTCCTGCTTCCACTTTCACAAAAAACTTTATAGGAAAAAAAAGCTCACTATATGTGGAGATGCTGTATAACTTGATAAAGATGAATTTAATTGATAAGATTATTTTGTGGAAAATGCTGGTGGAATTCATGGTTAGCCCTGATATTTTCCTTTCCTCAATAAGATATCTGCATTATTGAGTATAAATTATTCTTACATATCAGTTATGTCTAATTGACATATACCTGACATCTCCTCTATTTATATTGAATTGTCATAAAATCTGAAGTTGTTGAAAGTTATGAAATACATGATTTCAAATTACTTTTTTTATTTACAGGAGAAGTAGAGGAACAGAAAAAGTATCTAGAGTTTAGAAATTTGATGTATAGACAGAATGTGATCTTAACATATCCAAATACAAAGTCTGTGAAAGAAAAAAATTATGTAGAAGACTGCCTTGATGATTCTTATAAAATCAAGTCTACAGTAATATTAGAAAATTAAAAAGGGGCATTTATTGTTTAAATATTTCATTCGAGTTCTTTATATATTTCTGCTGAACTGATAATGGTGTTGCATTAGTTGTGATGTGCAGAAAATTTTCATGATTCAAAATTGTATTTTTTAAACTTAATTCAATGAAAAATATTTACCATACTATAGATACAAACTATTTGTCTGTTGTAAGATTTTTTTCTTCAGTGTCAAATCCTTGCTTGACATATTATTTGTAAGAATTTGAAAGTTTTTTGTTAAGTAGATTTAAGAAGTATTGAAACTTGGTCAATCGAACACCGTATTTCGCATGAATTGGAGCATAATCATTTAAGATAAGCACAATGAGAAAATGATCTACATATTTGAACATTACTACAAATAGATCACATTATGCTTGATAGTCAACATCATTATTATTTTTCCAGAATCAGAAATATCAAAATATTCAGGGTTTTTCTTATGATTAAATGGGTGCTATTCTTTTGCCTTGTCTTTGTACAGTTTTTGTAAGTATAAATTTTGTAAATAGAACATTATGGTCATAGATTTTGTGATATAAGTAATATTTATAACAATTCTCCACATTTTTCTTCTGAGTTTATTTACTTTATTTTAAAGCATACGCAGATTTTTAAGTGTTTCTAAAGACAAACCCAAAGATGGAAATTAGTATAATGATGATTTTTATAAGTGAAAAAAAGCAAATAAAAATAAAATTGGTGAAATTGATATTTTTACTGCTTGATTTTAACTGAAGATATTTTTATATTCTACTAGTTTGCTTCAATCATTATTTATCTTTGCAATACTGAGTTATGTTTGCTTCTAAAGTTAATCATTCCTTGTATATATAAGAGCAAGTTTTTTTTTATTGAACAATGATTTCTGTTCTCTCAGTTTTTATATTTTATTTTTAAGTTTTTGTTTCTAAGGGCCATATTCATTATTTTGTATCTTGTACTTTTGACTCTTCCTGTGAAAATGAAACTAACAAGAATGTTTCCTAATTTTCAATACAAAATCCCAACTCATATCCTTATCTTGTCTCTTATACTATTGTCTTAATGTATATACATTTATCATCAGATCTGAGCCTCTTTCAATCACAGGTACATATATGTAAATATTTGCATTCAGTATTTTTTCACCTTTATTTTATGTATACAATATATATGTAATAAAATGTAAATATAAGATGTTTGTTTTCATTTAACCGATGAAATTCAGTAAAGATTTAGGAAATTGCAATTTTTTTTTGAATGGTCAGTCTTTACTTGATTAACAATCATATGAGCTTTTGTCATTTGACACTTGAGGGTGCCATTATTGGAGCCAGATCTGCACCACTTGAGGTCATTGCCAGTTGTTTTGGGGGTAAATATTTATGAAATGCTATCAAAATTGTCCATATGTCTGACTGTCCATCCATTCATCCTTTGAAATTCCTTCGCATATTTCTCATGATCTACAAATAAGAGCTTCCTAAAATTTATTATCAGTTTGCAAGTGAACATTCTGCACCAAGTGATATAGTTTCAGATTCATCCATCCTAAAATGCCTGTTTACCTATTACTTATATATTCTAACACATAATGGCCATGTATGAAATAATCATTACATTTTTCCAGGGAACTACAAATAAGAGCTTCCTGAATTTGTTGTCGACTTTCATGTGAACATGCTTACTGTGTGTTATTTTTTCAGATTACAGTCCTCATCAACCTCCTGTTTGTGGTATTCTTAAAGGGGGGTATAATTAGTGAGCAGTAGTTCACAGTTTTACCTGTATTTTTTCATGGTTCAGTATACTTTATATTTTTGTGATTAGGTTAGTTTCTGTAAATACTAGTAGTAGATGAACTGAGTTTGGTCTAGAATCATTGTTACATGTACATGTCTGACATAATTCCTCTGACTTTGACTTCATTTTCATGGTTCAGTTGTCAATTTAAATTTTTGTAGTGAGGTCAGTTTATCAGTGACTACATTTGTAGATGTACATATATATAATTCTATAGAATTACTGTATAGTGGGTTATTTTCGCTTATATTGTGGTTAAATGAAAATCGTGAAAATAAATTCAGCGAAAATTTATGCATACGTTCAGTACTTCCTAATAGTTAAAGCGTTTTGTGAACAGTCTATTTTTGTCGAGCCTGCAACTTTTGGCGCAGAAAGCTCGACATAGAGATAGTGATCCGGCGGCAGCTGCATTAACTAAGTTCTTAAAAGCTTTATATTTTAGAAGGTGGAAGACCTGGATGCTTCATACTTTGCATATAGATGCCTTATGTTACGAAGTTTCCGTCTGTCACATGTCCATTGTCCTTGACCTCATGTTCATGATTCAGTGACTACTTGAAAAAAAAGTTGAGATTTTTTGTAATGTTAATTTCTCTCTTATGAGTAATAGGATAACTATATTTGGTATGTGCGTACCTTGCAAGGTCCTCATGCCTGTCAAACAGTTTTCACTTGACCTCGACCTCATTTCATGGATCAGTGAACAAGGTTAAGTTTTCATGGTCAAGTCCATATCTCAGATACTATAAGCAATAGGTCTAGTATATATTGTGTTTTGAAGGATTGTAAGGTGTACATGTCCAACTGGCAGGTGTCATTTGACCTTGACCTCATTTTCATGGTTCAGTGGTTTTAGTTAAGTTTTTGTGTTTTGGTCTGTTTTTCTTATACTGTACGCAATAGGTTTACTTTATTTGGTGTATGGAATGATTGTAAGGTGTACATGTCCAACTGGCAGGTGTCATCTGACCTTGACCTCATTTTCATGGTTCAGTGGTCAAAGTTAAGTTTTTGAGTTTTGAACTTTTTTTCTAATACTATATGCAATAGGTCAACTATATTTGGTGTATGGAAATATTTTATGATGCACATGTCAGTTTCGCAGGCTTTATTTGACCTTGACCTCATTTTCACGGTTCATTGCTCAGTGTTAAGTTTTTGCGTTTTGGTCTGTTTTTCATAAACTATAAGCAATAGGTCAACTATATTTTTTGTATAGAAGGATTGTAAGCTGTATATGTATGTCTGGCAGGTATCATCTGACCTTGACCTCATTTTGTTGGTTCATTGGTCAATGTTAAGTTTTCATGGTTAAGTTTGTTTCTTAGATACTATAAGCAATAGGTCAACTATATTTAATGCATATGTTGATTGTAAGGTGTACATGTCGGCCTGGCATGGTTCAACTGACCTTGACCTCATTTTCATGGTTCATTGGTCAATGTTTAGTTTTCTTGGTTAAGTCTGTTTCTTAGAAACTATAAGCAATAGGTCAACTATATTTAGTGTATTGAATGATTGTAAGGTTGAGAGTTGTAGTAAAGCTTTATATTTAGGACTATCAACATAATATCAATGGTTAGTAAAGAAGGCGAGACATTTCAGCATGTGCACTCTTGTTTCAGGTAGGCAGGTAGATAATTACAGTATATATTAGTTTTAACAACATAAATACCAAAGGGCATTGTACATACATGTATTTTATAAAATTACGTCTTGAGTTCTAATTAAACTGTATACCCTTATTGATCAGTGTCAAATTATATAAGAGTTTAAGTTCACTCTTGATAATTTGATAACCTAATGGGTACATCGAAGATCCGGTCAATTTCGTAACTAATCAACTGTAACATGTACAAGTAGTTTGCACACCTGTGACAACTATGTAAGTAACCGGTATTCTATTGATTAACTGTATCAGAATATAATAAAATTAAAGGTACCAATAGTTCTGTTGTGCATTTCGAAAATTAATATCCCTTTAGTTATGTATCAAGACCAAAATATTTGAAAATCCAAAACCTAATATGAACCCTGATAAAACCAAAAAGAAATAAAACTTAGCATGAGTGAGATACATTATTTCCAAAATTGTATAACTGCAAATTTCAATAAAACAATATCGCATGTCAGAAACGATGTACTGGCTACTGGGCTGGTGAGACTCTCGTGGACTTAAAGTCTATCAGCAGAGGTTTCGAGCTAGTTGCAGTAATAATACGTTTACTACACCAGATGGGCATTTCGACAATTAATGATTACTGTGTAACAGTAGTGTACATTTCCGTCTGACAGTTTAGTTAATGGTTTATTAGTCAAAGTTAAGTTTTTGTTCTTATTACATTTGCCAGAAGTAAAAAAGTGAAATGTATTTGGTTTATTAAATTAATGTATGGTGAATATGTTTATCTACCAGGGTTCACCTGATCTTGACCACATTGTAAGGGTTCATTGATGAACATTTAGTTTTTGTGATTTGAACAGTTTATTAAGAGATCAATAACAATTGGCCTATATAGTCATTTTGAAGTGTACATGTCTGTGTGACAGGGCACACTCGACCTTGAATTCATTTTCATAAAAGAGAGCCGAAAGATACCAAAGGGACATTCAAACTCATAAGTCGAAAATAAACTGACAACGCCATGGCAAAAAAAAAGACCAACTAAAAACTGAGCAACACGAAACCCACCAAAAATTAGGGGTGATTTCAGGTCCTCCGGAAGGGTAAGCAGATCCTGCTCCACATGTGGCACCCACCGTGTTCCTCATATTAGTACAAACCCGGTGATAAGACTAATTCGGTAGATTTCAATCGGAGAAAAGGGGACGGGAATGTAGTTACGACAATTGGAACATATCCGTTGTCATCTGTGGAATGGATATTCCATAACGGTCAACCAACTCGTGATGGCGACCGTAAAATTTACGAAGGGACGATTTCAACTTCACCACTTGGAACTTGGTTGAATAGCTTCTTTTCGAGCAGCAAAAAAAAGGTACTTTTCATGTCTTTCGGAGATGAAGGGGAATAGAATAAATCAATATAGTTGTCACCGGGTAGACAACTCTTGAAAGTTTTGTGGAGGGGTAGCAAAATCACTGACAAATGTATAATACAGGATAGATTTCTAAAAATTCTTAATGTAACAAATTCATGTAAACAATAAACAGCCGTTTGTGTAGCTTGCATTTGGGTTAGAATTCGAGTTATATTTTTATGCGTCACCCCTTGAATCCCTAAATTTTGCATACTTTTCATGATATTTTCACTGAATTTACATGCTTCACAAGCGTCCGGTAAAATCTTTTTTTCATTAAATACAAATTTTTTTCCATTGAGTATTTAAACACAAAATATAACGTCTTACGGTAAAGACTTTCAGTAATTTAGTCATTTTACTGAATAAACAGCCAATCCATTGCGATATTACAAAATAAAAGAATATTAAAACGTTATCGTATGATTTCGTATTAATTATTTTATAGATAGACCGTTTCATTATCCTTATACTGTCTAAGTTTTGTACAAAACTATACTGTTAGTTATGTGTGTTGAAAAAACAAGATTTCATACGGCGAGAAAAACATACGACAACGTTAACTTTAAAAAGACCATATGCATGTATCTGGTTATCTGTTCAAATACATGTATTCGAAAATTGATATAAAATGAATAACATCATTACCTCTATATTCATTCAGTGAATCGTCCATTTTTGAATTTTTGACCCTGCTTTTTCAAAATCCTCTGATTGATCATTTGCGTTTGAATGTAATGTTACGTACGTTAACAGTTTATTTCTTAGTCACAATAAGCTGTCATTGTACATACCTTGTAATTTGTAAACTACACCAAGTTTTTTCGGCAAGTCAATCGTATCCTCTTGGTGTTTGACAAATGATTTTTACAATGTGTGAATATCACTATTCTTTTTTTGTATCCTGTTTTCATATTCAGCAACTTTGCCCTCCAGAAACTCGATACGGTTACTTTGGACTTCGAGTTGCATTGACTGTACATTAAGACGTTTCTCCATCTCCATGAAACGAGCCTCGATCGATTCTTCATATGTCCGAATGTGAGGAACTGAAATTTGTCGTGCATCAAAGCATGCAAATATATCAAGTATTAATATCATTTTTGAACTTGTCAAAGAATTTGTGTGAATATTATTTAGGCTGAAGGTTTGATACCATTAAAACGTTAAAACCCGCTGCAATTGTTTGCACCTGTCCTAAGTCAGGAATCTGATGTTCAGTAGTTGATGTGGTTCATAAGTGTTTCTCGTTTCTCGTTTATTATATAGATTAGACCGTTGGTTTTCCCGTTTGAATGGTTTTACACTAGTAATTTTTGGGGCCCTTTATAGCTTGCTGTTCGGTGTG